CATTTGCAGTCTCCAAGGGTATAGCTGGTATCTGCGGAGAGGTTGCCAATGTCACAAAGCTCCGGTCCTGTTCTCTACTAGTAGAATGTACTCGGAGACAGCAATCCTTGAATCTACTGAAATTACAAGAGTTTGTCAATGTAAAGGTTGCTGTCTCAGCACACAAAACACTGAACACTTGTAGAGGCATTGTACGGGACAGAGCTCGGGGCCTGTCTGACATGACTGAAGAACAAATTGTCCAGGAACATTCCCCGCAGTCTGTCACAGCAGTGAAGAGATTCACTATCAAGAAGGATGGAGTGGTTCAACTCACAAACAAATAACCTCTTTACGTTCGCCCGATCGAAGATTCCCGAAACTTTTAGAGACGGCTATTGCAGCATTGGTGTGGAGGTGTATGTAACTAATCCACTCCGGTGCTACAACTGCCAATCTGCTGTTTGTTACCGCTGTGGTGACAAGCATGAGAGCAATGACTGTACTAAGGAAGTGAAGTGCCCAAACTGCGGTGGTAACAATATGGCTTCCTGTAAATCTTGTCCCGTGTGGCAACGCGAATCAGAGATCATAAAGATCAAGCATAAAGAAAATGTCTCTTTTCATGAAGCTAAGAAGAGGGTTGCAAGTTAAACTGTAGCCCCTTCAACCATCACCTACTCTTTTGCTGTCTCCCGTCCTTCTGTCACTACTGCAACTATCTCCTGTCAGACCAATATGACATGGGTCATGTCTTCTCAACTCAACTCAACTCAACTCAACTCAACTCAACTCAACTCAGACCATCTCAGCCACTCCATCTCCAAAGCTAAAAGTCAAAACTTCTGAATCAGAACCATCAGAACAAATGCCAAAACCAGAAACAGAAACTGCGCGCCGAAAAAGGGAAAGAAAGAAGCTAGAGAGACTAAAGCAGCTTGAGCAACTGCCAAACACAAAACCAAAGGCCACCTCTCCTTCAGAGGTCCCCGTCGAGGTCCATAACTCCTTTGACCCTCTGGATATTGAGGTCACTCCATCTCCACCTTACACCAATAGGAGTTCATCAAACGCTTTCTCACGTTCACGTGACATGTCACCAGTGGAAGCTCCATGAACCCACAAAACATGCTTCAATGGAATTGCAGAGGACTTAAGAATAATTATAACGAATTACAGTTATTGATTCAAGACTTCAAACCATCCGCATTTTGTCTCCAAGAAACCTACCTAAAAAGGACTGATAAATTTGACATCAGTCGGTACAGTTCCTACCACTTTTTTTCTCCTCCCAGTGAAAAAGCTACAGGAGGCACTTCTATCCTGGTGAGGCAGGGCATCCTCCATAGCCCTGTTCCACTTAACACCAACCTACAAACTGTTGCTGTCCGCATGACTCTGAACATAGGGTTTACACTATGTTCACTCTATCTTCCGCCCTCCTCAACCGTCCACCTATCAGATCTTCAGAACGTGTATGATCAACTCCCAAAGCCCTGCATAATCATGGGCGACTTGAATGGCCATAACCCTCTATGGGGGAGTACGGATACAAATAATAAGGGAAAGGTCCTTGAAGATTTTCTCGCCAATAATGATCTATGCATATTCAGCGATGGATGAAACAGTTACCTCCATCCTGCCACTGGAACATACTCTGCACTTGATCTGTCACTTACGGATTCTAATCTCTTGAACGAGTTTGAATGGTCGGTCCACGATGACTTTGTGGAAGTGACCACTTCCCAACTATTCTTACTCCTATCAATCCCGCGGATGAACCACCTTCAACAAGATGGAATTTTACTAAGGCCAATTGGCCATTATTCCAAACTCTCTGCTCTGAAAAACTTATACCGGACACTTTCAGGAATGTTCCTGATCCCATGGAACTATTTTCTGATATCTTAAATACTATTGGAGACGAAACCATTCCTAAGTCCTCTGCAAACCCGCACATACGCAAACCATGGCTTGATACAAACTGCAAACAAGCTAGGAAAAATAGGAAGAAGGCGGAAAAATACTTCCGACAACACCCTACTGTCATAACCTGAATGCCGTTAAAATGACAAATGCCAGGGCAAGACGTACATTTAAAACAAACTAAACGACGGTCCTGGATGACATATGTGTCCAAAATCAACTCCTGCACACCCATGTACAAGGTGTGGAACATGATTCAAAAGATTAAGGGCAAAGGATCCAAATCTGGTGTTCGCCATCTCTAAGATGGTGACTCTCTTTTAACAAATAAATTTGAAATTGCAAATAAACTTGGCTAAACTTTGGCAAAACGCTCCTCTTCCACAAATTATAACCCCAAGTTCCGGAAATACCAAACGCAACAAGAAAAGAAATCGTCAATTTTAACTCTGATAATGGTGAGGATTACAATGAAACGTTTTCTCTCCATGAATTATGCACTGCCCTGGGGCAGGCTCACGACACTGCGACAGGAGCTGATGATATTCATTATCAGCTCCTCAAACACCTCCCTGATTCAAGTTTGGAAACACTACTCAATATATTTGATGACATTTGGACAACCGGCAACTTTCCTCCTTCGTGGCACAATGCCATTATCATCCCTATACCAAAACCTGGTCGGGATCATACTGATCCCTCAAACTACCGTCCTATATCACTAACTAGCTGTGTTTGTAAAACCATGGAGCGCATGGTCAACAATCGATTAATCTGGTACTTGGAGACCAATAACCTCCTTAGTGACCTCCAATGTGGTTTCCAAAAGAACCGAAGTACCATTGATCATCTGGTGCATCTGGAATCTTATATAAAAATTCCATTGTCAACAAACAGTATACAGTATCTATCTTTTTCGATTTAGATTTGGAAACATGGTATCTTAAAAGATTTACATGAATTTGGATTGAGGGGCAGATTTCCTCAGTTCATATCTCAGTTTTTAAACAACAGACAATTTCAAGTACGGGTAGGTTCCACATTGTCTGATTATTTCAACCAAGATCAGAGCATCCCTCAAGGCAGCATCCTGTCTGTCACCCTTTTTAGCATCAAAATTAACAGCCTCACTAACGTCTTGAACAGTTGTGTTGATGGGTCACTTTTCGTGGACAATTTCGATATTTCATGTCGTGGTAAGAACATGCACGCAATAGAAAGGCAGCTAAAACTCTGTCTCAACAAAATCCAAAAATGGGCCAATGAAAATGGCTTTAAGGTTTCAAAATCCAAAACTGGGCCAATGAAAATGTATTCACTTTTGTTGTAAATACAAACCACACAAGGATCCAGACCTGTCTTTAGATGGTACTCCCATCAAGGTAATAGAAGAGGCCAAATTACTTGGACTCATATTCGACCGTCACCTGACATTCTTACCACACATAAAATATTTGAAAACCAAGTGCTTGAAGGCTCTGGACTTACTAAAAGTCGTTTCAAATACAGAGTGGGAAGGGGATCAGACTACCTTCCTTCACTTGTACAGATCTTTGGTTCCCTCTAAACTAGACTAAGGCTCCATTGTTTATGGTGGAGCCTGCAAAAGCAATTTAGAAAAATTAGACTCTATCCACCACCAAGGCCTAAGGCTCTGCCTGGGAGCTTTTAGGACCTCTCCGGTAGACAGTCTATATGCAGAGGCTAATGAACCTTCCCTTGAACAATGCCGCCTTAAACTTTCACTGCAGTATATCACTAAATTACGTTCAAATCAGTCCAATCCAGCATACAATTGTGTTTTCAACCCTCTCTAAGAAAACCTGTTTCACAAACTGCCAAGCCTGGTTCCACCACTTGGAATCAGAATTCAACCACACATATCTGCAGCTAAAATTAATCTCAATATCATAACATCTTACCGCAACCCTGGCATATGGTGAAACCACAGGTAGACCTTACCCTCACTAAACTCAAAAAGTCCGAAACAAATCCTTTGGTGTTCCATCAGGAATACAACCAGGTACGTTCACAGTATGACAACCATAGATCCATTTTCACAGATGGATCCAAGGACGAGGGCCAAGTTGCCAGTGCTACAATCAATGGATCCAAGAGTGTCTCCTCTAGGATTCCCGACAACAGTTCCATTTTCACTGCCGAGGCCAAAGCTTCTTCTCAGCTTTGACCTACATTAAACAGCAAAATCATTCCAAAAACTTCATTGTTCTTACAGATTCATTATCTTGCCTTCAAGCACTTCAAAATGTTAGTTCAAGTCACCCAATCATTCTGGACATTTTAGAACTTTACAACGACCTTTCTACTGGCCAATGTGACATGGTCCTCTGCTGGTTGCCGGGTCACGTCGGCATAGCAGGTAACACAAAAGCCGATGCTGCAGCTAAAGCAGCTCTTGACAAGCCCTTATCTCCACTGCTGATCCCGTACAGTGATTTCAAACCCACTGTCAAAAGCTATACTCGGGACCTCATGCAAAAAGAGGTGGGACACTCAAGTAGGAAGAAATAAACTGTATGAACTGAAGCCAACAATTGGTTATACCTACTTGGGTTGTCAGTCAAGACGTGATGAGGTAATTTTACGACGATGTCGTATTGGCCACAGTCGGTTTACACATGACTATCTGCTGAAAACGGATGGGGATGGACCCCCCATGTGTGTCTCTTGCGATGAGGTTTTCACCATCAAGCATATTCTGCTTATGATGCAACAAATCTGAAAGATCTGTTCTCCCACGTGAGCGCTTATCTGATAGTGAACTACCTGAGGGAAGTTGATCTGTATCATAAATTGTAACTGTGTAATGTGACTAACAAATTGCCTGCCTTTAAAGTTAGTGCTATGCCTTTTTCTGTCTTTAAATGACAATGTAATGAATATATGTTTCTGAAATAAAACTCATTTTGACTCTGTACTTACAATGTTTATTAATGCAGACTTGTTCTCGTCACTATATGGCTGAAATAATGCCGATATGACGTAAAGCCCAACTCAACTCAACTCAACTCCTTCTCTCACTCACTCACTTGTTCACTCATTCTGTCACTCCCTCCTTCACTGATATGATTCAGATGAGGAGCCTCCGTCCATCAGGTGCCTCGGGTCCAGATACGAGGCAGTGGATGCCAACCGAACCATCACCTTTGGTGACTCCGATGTCAACGCAACTGACAACAGCGGCATCCTTCAAGTTACCTTTGTCCCACAGGCTATCCACATCTCTCTCAATAACATCGGAGAAAGTGTTGTAGTCAAGGCAACAGCCACAGATGGGAGGGCAACGAACAGAGTTGTTCATTTCAAGTTGTTGTTGTTGGTATGTAATAACACTACTAATAAATTGTGGTTTTAATACAAATGTATGTCTTAAGATATTTCAGAGATTTGTTCTATGAGTTCTATGATGTTGATCCGGTAAGATGTCTGTCAATGTTTACGTCTAAGACTGCGCAACTTAGTAGAAAGGTATTGTCATAACACTATACATGTGTGGAGATTGTGTGCTGTAAATTGCTCTACCATGGATTCAAAGTGTATATCTATCATGAAATCAACAGCAATGATGACAATGAAGAATAAATTCCCAGAGCTACTTTCCTTTAGAGTGGTACATGTATACACTGATGACATAGCATACTGTCTCTTCCAGGTCAGTAATCTAAGAAGCTGCTAAGACACTGATGATGTGTGAAAAATCACATCTTTTTACACTTCTAATAATTGTTTAGAAATCCTAATTTGTTCTGGTAAGCTACTGTCTAGGGCCATGTATTAGTGTTGGTTTAACCACAGATTGAATGATGTTTGTATTTGTGATTTAGCCAAGACCTGTCATCCAGAATACCTGTCCCAGCCTATGAATGGTCAGAAAACATGTATAGAGACAGTTGGAGGCTACCAGTGCAACTTTACCTGTGACCCCGGCTTCTTCTTCTATGAGGATTATCCTGACAATACATATGTCACGGAGTGTCTGACAAATGGGGACTGGAACACAACGTATGTTCCGGTGTGTGGAGGTGAGTTAGTTATGGATTTCTAAACAGAGGTTCCTGTTTGTGGAGATTAGTTAGATATAGATTGCCTGGCAGAGGTTCCTGTTTGTGGAGGTGAGTTAGTTATAGATTGCCTGACAGAGGTTCCTGTTTGTGGAGGTGAGTTAGTTATAGATTGCCTGACAGAGGTTCCTGTTTGTGGAGGTGAGTTAGTTATAGATTGCCTGACAGAGGTTCCTGTTTGTGGAGGTGAATTAGTTATAGATTGCCTGACAGAGGTTCCTGTTTGTGGAGGTGAGATTGCCTGACAGAGTTATAGATTGCCTGACAGAGGTTCCTGTTTGTGGAGGTGAGTTAGTTATAGATTGCCTGACAGAGGTTCCTGTTTGTGGAGGTGAATTAGTTATAGATTGCCTGACAGAGGTTCCTGTTTGTGGAGGTGAATTAGTTATAGATTGCCTGACAGAGGTTCCTGTTTGTGGAGGTGAGTTAGTTATAGATTGCCTGACAGAGGTTCCTGTTTGTGGAGGTGAGTTAGTTATAGATTGCCTGACAGAGGTTCCTGTTTGTGGAGGTGAATTAGTTATAGATTGCCTGACAGAGGTTCCTGTTTGTGGAGGTGAGTTAGTTATAGATTGCCTGACAGAGGTTCCTGTTTGTGGAGGTGAATTAGTTATAGATTGCCTGACAGAGGTTCCTGTTTGTGGAGGTGAATTAGTTATAGATTGCCTGACAGAGGTTCCTGTTTGTGGAGGTGAGTTAGTTATAGATTGCCTGACAGAGGTTCCTGTTGTGGAGGTGGAGATTGTGACAGAGGTTAGTTATAGATTGCCCTGACAGAGGTTCCTGTTTGTGGAGGTGAGTTAGTTATAGATTGCCTGACAGAGGTTCCTGTTTGTGGAGGTGAATTAGTTATAGATTGCCTGACAGAGGTTCCTGTTTGTGGAGGTGAGTTAGTTATAGATTGCCTGACAGAGGTTCCTGTTTGTGGAGGTAGAATTAGTTATAGATTGCCTGACAGAGGTTTTGTGGAGGTAGAATTAGTTATAGATTGCCTGTTTGTGGAGGTGAGTTAGTTATAGATTGCCTGACAGAGGTTCCTGTTTGTGGAGGTGAGTTAGTTATAGATTGCCTGACAGAGGTTCCTGTTTGTGGAGGTGAGGTTATAGATTGCCTGACAGAGGTTCCTGTTTGTGGAGGTGAGTTAGTTATAGATTGCCTGACAGAGGTTCCTGTTTGTGGAGGTGAATTAGTTATAGATTGCCTGACAGAGGTTCCTGTTTGTGGAGGTGAGTTAGTTATAGATTGCCTGACAGAGGTTCCTGTTTGTGGAGGTGAGTTAGTTATAGATTGCCTGACAGAGGTTCCTGTTTGTGGAGGTGAGTTAGTTATAGATTGCCTGACAGAGGTTCCTGTTTGTGGAGGTTAGTTAGTTATAGATTGCCTGACAGAGGTTCCTGTTTGTGCCTGACAGAGGTGAGGTTAGTTAGTTATAGATTGCCTGACAGAGGTTCCTGTTTGTGGAGGTTAGTTAGTTATAGATTGCCTGACAGAGGTGGAGGTTCCTGACAGAGGTTCCTGTTTGTGGAGGTTAGTTAGTTATAGATTGCCTGACAGAGGTTCCTGTTTGTGGAGGTGAGTTAGTTATAGATTGCCTGACAGAGGTTCCTGTTTGTGGAGGTTAGTTAGTTACAGATTGCCTGACAGAGGTTCCTGTTTGTGGAGGTGAGTTAGCTATAGATTGCCTGACAGAGGTTCCTGTTTGTGGAGGTTAGTTAGTTATAGATTGCCAGACAGAGGTTCCTGTTTGTGGAGGTGAGTTAGCTATAGATTGCCTGACAGAGGTTCCTGTTTGTGGAGGTGAGTTAGTTATAGATTGTTTGTTTTAGTTTGACCGGTCCAGGGAATTGACCACTGACCTTCCAAATCTCCTACTTGATCTTTTACAAAATACAGGCAGTTAGTAGAATAGAGTAGGGGCATCTAATCAGTCCTATAAAACGTATCCATTCTGTGTACTAGGCACTGTGTGATTGCTATCTTCATCAAAAGTTGGGGTTTGTCTTATTAAATGATAGTTTTTGAAAGCAGTATTTTTACCTCTGTTTCAGCTCCGGGCCTAATAGACTGGGAGCTGAGACTGAAGATCGTGTTCCAGGAAAGTCCCCCGGCGCCCATGTCTCTAGATTGTCAGACAACTTATGTTAAAGATTCCACCATTAAACTGCAGGAACTATTTCTTGTGTTATCAGATCTATGTAATAAATCTGGCTTGAGTCCTGACTATATCAATCATACATACACTGGACATAACTATATGGCTGACACTCAACAGGTAAGGTTCAGTTTCCTAATTAAATACTGATAATCAGTGTCTCATACCTTTAACTTGTGATGATTCCAGTCTTATGTTATATCACCACAATGATAAACAAATGACTTCAATATATTTTGCATGCACAGAGGTAGACACATAATACCTGTTGTACATTCTGTGTAAATATGACTTATGTAATTTTGTTTAACACCAAAATGCTTCATTTGGCATTCAAATGCAATGGTGTCCTAGCCTAGAATAGAATCAGTGCATATCTGTTGGTAAAGGTGAGAGTTAACCTTGAAGCTGTTAACATCCTGGGTTGCTCTGCCACTGTAGCTAAATACATTTACTACACGTCTCGATAGTGTGTGTTGGATTTCATGACAGGTATTTCCTTGGTAGGAAGTGTATTCTTGCATCATATTCTTGCAGCTGACATATGATATTGCACTGGAACTTCTCCCAAATCGTCCCCTCAAGTCTGACTACAACACCTGTGTTGAAGTTATCATTGACCAGTTTCCTCTCCTGGCAGCAGAGTTGTTTAAAGCGCCAGCAAATACATCATCTCCTTGTCCTGTGATAAGACCAAGCGCAGAACCCAGCGTCAGCCTCGTAACTTGTGATGGGCGGGGTGAGCTGCGGGAGATCAGTGGGGAAACGATCTGCAGTAAGTATTAATCTATGTTGGTTATGTAATGCCACACTCAGCAATATTGCAGTTATATAATTTAAATATACAAATTTATTACCTATGAGGGCGAAAATATTGGGGTTCATATTTTTCATATGATGCTCTAGGGCAAAATATCACTTTGTCATGGTGATTAGACGTCATGAACAATTCTATGACGTGACTTGCGTTCTACATACGGAGACAGCGGGTAGCTGAAAGTAGATTGGGATCTATTTTCCTCAATTTGACGACTTCGGTAATAAACAGAATATTATATAGTGCCCATATCATACTATGTTTACGACACTTGTGCCTAAATATCGGTATATCCCTCACTCTCGCTCGTGAAATACCAACATTTAGGCACTTGTGTTGTAAACATAGTATGACATGGGCAGTCATATAATATCCTCTATATATTATAATGCCACGCCCAGCAATATTGCAGCTGTGTAAATAATCACTAAACAAGATAATCCAGTGATTGATATTGTGATCAACAATCCTTTGTGTATGATAGGGTCAGACAAATTTTGTATGTCCATGAAATTCAAGAAAGATTGCAGATCAAGGCTCCATTTGACAAAAGTTACTTAACAATGATATATTGTAGCTCTAAAATCAGTACCTGTAAAGATCTGGGTTAGAATTAGTTGTCAGCAGCCAATGCGTGTTGCTTGACGCAACCAACCAGATCGGGTGATAAGGCTCACTGACTTGGTTGATACATGTCATGGTATCCTTACTGCGTAGATCGATGCTCGCGATATCAATCACTGGATTGTCTGATCCAGACTCAATTATTTACATTTGGAAATATTGCTGAGTATGACGTAAACAGAAAACAAACAAAGATCAATTTGTGGAAATGGGCCTGAGAGAATATATAATAACACATGGATCTGTAATGTTTGTATACATTGTCAAAATTGATCTTTTCAGGAATATTTGTTGTAGGTGAATGAAACAATATACTTTATGTGCTATTTTCATAGAGACCTTAGTTCAGTGACCAAAACACAGTCTATGTTAACCAGTAGCCGGTAACATTTCTGTCAGGATAGGAGAAATTACTCCTGCCTGCCCGAGAGTCTTGTATTAATTTAAGTTGCTGTGCCAAAATTTACAATTTTGAAACAGATGTTGATATCTGACTCACATACAGGAGAGCTAGAGGTACGTTTGTGATGACAATGATGAAACTTTTAAAGGCATTGAGTTAAAGTTATCTACTCTACATTAATATGTAGTTACAAATGTGGCCACTTGCAAGACTGGTTCCATATATGAAACACCAGCCAACCTTGAGTGGAGTTGAACATATTTCAGGAAGTGCCTCAGAATTAGGTCAAGGTCACTGAATCCTTATTTGTAATTTTAGCTTTAACTGAAGAATGACTTCTGGTGACATGGGGTCAGCTTGACCTACTTTTAATGAATAACATATCATACTTTGATTGAGACTTTAAACACACCTGATGCATTTGAAGTTTGGTATGATCTCAGTCCAGGAGAAAGTTTGGACATAATGGTGTGTATCCATGAAACACTCTTATAAATGTGTTACTGATGCTGCAGACGTGTGTCCCCCCGGAACCTCCTACAACTCCACTGGTCATTGCCAGCTGTGTCAACCTGGGTCCTATCAGAATGTGTCTGGACAAAGCATGTGTACACCTTGCCCACTAGAAACCTGGACTGATGGTACTGGCAAAACATCAGAACTGGACTGTATCAGTAAGTTTGTACAACTTGTATGTTTTATTGGTGGTGACAATAAAATTTCCATTAAAGCACAGACCTTCTGGTATGAGATCAGATGTTTTGTCAGTATGACCGAACAGGTGAATCCCGTCAGCAGACTCACAAGGCAAGGCTGCCATCTGTTGAATGGTTCCCTGCCCTGATACACTTACTGTAGATAGTACTCGACTTGCTTGCCATGTACCAATAAGATTATACTGGACATTCACAATTCCATGCTTCCTCCAAAACAGCTGAGTGAGTTACTTGAAAACTAACCCACTCGGACACCAATTACTTACACTGTGTGGTTAGGTTCAAGTTCCAAATGGGGCTCCTTCAAAAATGTACTAGAATTTGTGCTTTACTGAAGTGTGATCCCAAATATAACATATCTTACATACAGTCATTTTCTGAAGGGCATTTTGAGATAAACAACTAGCAGGATTTGTATCTATTATAAGCGTGTTAAGACAAATCACTTTCACATTTTGTAGATTACAGCTACACAATGTGAAGGTAATTTATCATTACAAGCTTATTACAGCTACAGAATGAGAAAGTAATTTATCTTAACAAGTTTATTACAGCTACAAAATGTGAAAGTAATTATCTTAACAATTTTATTACAGCTACAAAATGTGAAACTAATTTATCTTAACAAGCTTATTACAGCTTCAAAATGTGAAACTAATTTATCTTAACAAGCTTATTACAGCAACACAGTGTGAAAGTAATTTATCTTAACAAGCTTATTACAGCTACAAAATGTGAAAGTAATTTATCTTAACAAGCTTATTACAGCTACAAAATGTGAAACTAATTTATCTTATCAAGCTTATTACAGCTACAAAATGTGAAAGTAATTTATCTTAACAAGCTTATTACAGCTACAAAATGTGAAAGCAATTTATCTTAACAAGCTTATTACAGGTACGAAATGTGAAAGTAATTTATCTGAACAAGCTTATTACAGCTACAAAATGTGAAAGTAATTTATCTTAACAAGCTTATTACAGCTACAAAATGTGAAAGTAATTTATCTTAACAAGCTTATTACAGCTACAAAATGTGAAAGTAATTTATCTTAACAAGCTTATTACAGCTACAAAATGTGAAAGTAATTATCTTAACAAGCTTATTACAGCTTCAAAATGTGAAACTAATTTATCTTAACAAGCTTATTACAGCAACACAGTGTGAAAGTAATTTATCTTAACAAGCTTATTACAGCTACAAAATGTGAAAGTAATTTATCTTAACAAGCTTATTACAGCTACAAAATGTGAAACTAATTTATCTTATCAAGCTTATTACAGCTACAAAATGTGAAAGTAATTTATCTTAACAAGCTTATTACAGCTACAAAATGTGAAAGCAATTTATCTTAACAAGCTTATTACAGGTACGAAATGTGAAAGTAATTTATCTGAACAAGCTTATTACAGCTACAAAATGTGAAAGTAATTTATCTTAAGCTTATTACAGCTACAAAATGTGAAAGTAATTTATCTTAACAAGCTTATTACAGCTACAAAATGTGAAAGTAATTTATCTTAACAAGCTTATTACAGCTACAAAATGTGAAAGTAATTATCTTAACAAGCTTAAACCTGTTGATTTATTGTGCTACCAAATTTTGTAACAACAAGAATCGTTTTGATATAATCATAAACACTTATAATGTTATAGCATGCATTACAATTTAATTAGCATGAATTCTTCTTGTTTCTGATTTCAGGATAGATGTTTAACATACCATTGTTTCAACTGAATCCTATACATTACAGGTGTATGTCCTGGGGAAATTGTATCGGACACTGGACTCCCCCCTGGCTGAGAGTGTCTACCCAACATATCCATTGTTTCAACTGAATCCTATACATTACAGGTGTATGTCCTGGGGAAATTGTATCGGACACTGGACTCCCCCCTGGCTGAGAGTGTCCCCCCAACATATCCATTGTTTCAACTGAATCCTATACATTACAGGTGTATGTCCTGGGGAACTTGCATCGGACACTGGACTCTCCCCTGGCTGAGAGTGTCTACCCAACATATCCATTGTTTCAACTGAATCCTATACATTACAGGTGTATGTCCTGGGGAACTTGTATCGGACACTGGACTTCCCCCTTGCTGAGAGTGTCCCCCCAACAGATCCATTGTTTCAACTGAATCCTATACATTACAGGTGTATGTCCTGGGGAACTTGTATCGGACACTGGACTTCCCCCTTGCTGAGAGTGTCCCCCCAACAGATCCATTGTTTCAACTGAATCCTATACATTACAGGTGTATGTCCTGGGGAACTTGTATCGAACACTGGACTTCCTCCTTGCCGAGAGTGTCCCCCCAACACCTACAAGAACAGCAGCACCCACTGTACATCATGTGCTGAGGACACAATCTTTGTTGGGCTGGATAATCCATTGCTGGCTGACTGTAAAGGTGAGTCAGACACTATCTCACCGAAATCAGATCTGTTACTCAATGCAATACAGCTTTCCAAGGAAATCTTACAAAACTTTGACAGGAAGTTGCATCAGGTGAAATTTCTAATGTGTAATTGGATGCTTCACTACATATAGTGTCGCCTTCACAGCAGTAGACTGGCTTCCTGTATCTTGGAAACTAATCATAATCAGGCAGTTCTGAATGGAACAAAGTAAAATCTGCTTCAGGGATAAAGAAGAAAGGTGAATTCTCACTTTGTGGCTGTGTTTGTGGCTGTGTTTATGACGGTGTTTGTGGCTGTGTTTATGACTGTTTAGCGGTCTGATGTAGACATTTGCACCATCAGCAACATAATGAATAATTGTATCAAACGAAATTTGAAATAATATGTCTAACAGCAAACATCTACATTCTTATGACAAATCTATGCCCGACATTATTTCTTTTACCAATACAGCAAGCATTTATGCATGTGATACTGTTGAAATCAGATGATCATTTTTTTGTGTTCAGTTGAGTCATTTCTACATGTTTTACTGTCACAAATGTCTGTCCTTTTTGTGCATTATTCTTATGCTCATGGTGTTTAATGTTAGTGTTAGTGAATGTTTGTAACTTGAGTTTGAGTTTGTCATTTACAATGTATCATTTGGTTGTTGTTATGTGTTATTTAACTTATGTCATGTAAAATCAGGTCATTTGTGCTTGTGAGTTGTGTCTGTCCATCAGACTCTATGTGGTCATTCCTTCACCTTGACCTAAAGCAGTTCAGTGCCAGGTGCTTGTGTGTCATAATGTTATCTTATTCCTCAGTGTTGGATCTGTTTCTCTGTCTGCATGACAATCTAGCTTCAGGATTTGTACACGTCCTTGTGTATGCCTTTGGGCTCTCTCCCACTCCCTTGAGATGTTAGAATACTGTGGTGTTGGGTCTGGTTGTCTGTCTGCTTCTCTATGTGATGGTGTACTGGTAGATGTACTCTCCCGCTACCATGGGACCAGGCAGTGTGTGATGTTATAATACTGTGGTGTTGGGTCTGGTTGTCTGTCTGCTTCTCTATGTGATGGTGTACTGGTAGATGTACTCTCCCGCTACCATGGGACCAGGCAGTGTGTGATGTTATAATACTGTGGTGTTGGGTCTGGTTGTCTGTCTGCTTCTCCATGTGATGGTGTACTGGTAGATGTACTCTCCCGCTACCGTGGGACCAGGCAGTGTGTGATGTTATAATACTGTGGTGTTGGGTCTGGTTGTCTGTCTGCTTCTCCATGTGATGGTGTACTGGTAGATGTACTCTCCCGCTACCGTGGGACCAGGCAGTGTGTGATGTTATAATACTGTGGTGTTGGGTCTGGTTGTCTGTCTGCTTCTCCATGTGATGGTGTACTGGTAGATGTACTCTCCGCTACCGTGGGACCAGGCAGTGTGTGATGTTATAATACTGTGGTGTTGGGTCTGGTTGTCTGTCTGCTTCTCTATGTGATGGTGTACTGGTAGATGTACTCTCCCGCTACCATGGGACCTGGCAGTGTGTGATGTTATAATACTGTGGTGTTGGGTCTGGTTGTCTGTCTGCTTCTCTATGTGATGGTGTACTGGTAGATGTACTCTCCCGCTACCATGGGACCAGGCAGTGTGTGATGTTATAATACTGTGGTGTTGGGTCTGGTTGTCTGTCTGCTTCTCTATGTGATGGTGTACTGGTAGATGTACTCTCCCGCTACCATGGGACCAGGCAGTGTGTGATGTTATGAACCTGGTGTTGGGTTCCACATTAACCTGGCGACTGGTACATCTCCTTGTGTAATCTCTCCCACACCCATGGGATGAGGCAATGGTTTGATGATGAAGGACTTCCATCTCTGCTACAGAGTCAGCTTGTACTTTTGTTCGTCGGATAAACCAACAAATGATTGGCGGCAAAGACATCATGACTGCCGCTGTCGGAACAACAGAGTGTGAAAATTCTTGCAACGTGTTCCGGAGACGCTTTGAGCAGCGTCAATGTGTTGGCTTTAACTTCTTCAAGAGTCTTGGCATGTGCTTTCTATATGACACTATTTACTTCTATCAGGGGACCAGAATGTATGATTTCTATGAAAGAGTCTGTCCTCAAGTGACTAAATCGGGTAGGTAATCATGGCGTCACTTGTCATTGTATGCCTGTACTCACCATAGAATAAATCTCATTGGTCATTTGCCTGTTATTGATAGAATATTTTCATGAATTGAAATTGTTGAAATGTTAAATAGATTTCCACTTTGCATTCAGTGCTGAAAGATTCCCTTTTCTGCTGTAATTGACATATATCCATGTTAAACTTAAATTTACTTTCAAGAGGAGTTTGAATGCATTGTACTGTTTTCAACTCTTTGAGTTTTGTGTTGTTCCCTCCATCCCTCCTTCAGTCACCCACAAACCCACTCACTTGATGACTCTTGCCTAGTTCCCTCCATCCCTCCTTCAGTCACCCACAAACCCACTCACTTGATGACTCTTGCCTAGTTCCCTCCATCCCTCCTTCAATCACCCACAAACCCACTCACTTGATGACTCTTGCCTAGTTCCCTCCATCCCTCCTTCAATCACCCACAAACCCACTCACTTGATGACTCTTGCCTAGTTCCCTCCATCCCTCCTTCAATCACCCACAAACCCACTCACTTGATGACTCTTGCCTAGTTCCCTCCATCCCTCCTTCAATCACCCACAAACCCACTCACTTGATGACTCTTGCCTAGTTCCCTCCATCCCTCCTTCAATCACCCACAAACCCACTCACTTGATGACTCTTGCCTAGTTCCCTCCATCCCTCCTTCAATCACCCACAAACCCACTCACTTGATGACTCTTGCCTTGTTCCCTCCATCCCTCCTTCAATCACCCACAAACCCACTCACTTGATGACTCTTGCCTTGTTCCCTCCATCCCTCCTTCAATCACCCACAAACCCACTCACTTGATGACTCTTGCCTTGTTCCCTCCATCCCTCCTTCAATCACCCACAAACCCACTCACTTGATGACTCTTGCCTAGTTACCTCCATTCCTCCTTCAATCACCCACAAACCCACTCACTTGATGACTCTTGCCTAGTTCCCTCCATCCCTCCTTCAATCACCCACAAACCCACTCTCACTCGATGACTCTTGCCTAGTTCCCTCCATCCCTCCTTCAATCACCCACAAACCCACTCACTTGATGACTCTTGCCTAGTTCCCTCCATCCCTCCTTCAATCACCCACAAACCCACTCACTTGATGACTCTTGCCTTGTTCCCTCCATCCCTCCTTCAATCACCCACAAACCCACTCACTTGATGACCCTTGCCTTGTTCCCTCCATCCCTCCTTCAATCACCCACAAACCCACTCACTTGATGACTCTTGCCTAGTTTCCTCAATTCCTCCCTCTGGGTTGACACATGTCATCTTGCATAGATCAATGCTCATGCTGTTGATCACTGGATTGTCTGGTCCAGACTTGATTATTTACAGACAGCCGCAATATAGCGTATTGAGTGCAGTGTTAAACAACATACCCACAAAAGCATTTCCCTTTCTCTCCCTCCCTCAACCTCATGCCTTGATCCCCCCGCTTCTTCCGCCCAGTATCTCACGCACACTCTGTCATGCTCATATATGACTAAATCAATTATATCCTCATTGTATCAGCATATATGATGCAGCATAAAGCCTCACTCACTCATTTCTTCTCTCCCTCAACCATTCACACTCATTCTCTCACAAACTCATTCGCTCATTCACTCACTCACTCACTCACTCACTCACATATATGTTACATCTTCCAGAGTGCTACTGTGCAGAGAAGTGTGACCAGGGGACATTTTCCTACAGTGGTCATAAACCCAACTGCCGACCATGTCCAGTTGGCTACTTCACCAACACCACTGGCGCCACTGTGTGCCAGGAATGTCCTGCAGACGAGACAACGGTAGCCAATGGGTCTACATCATGTGTTCCAAGTGAGTTGCCATGAGAGGTAACAACAGATCTGATTAGAGTTTTCTTATTGTCCTCCATCATGTTGTTGAGACGAAACTACCGTGTGATGTCTGTATGTTTCAGTGGCCGATGTGTTGTGTCCGACTACCATGTGATATCTGTATGTTTCAGTGGCCGATGTGTTGTGTAACCCAGGACCATGTACTAATTCAGGATCATGTGTTATTGTTGGACACTCAGAAGAATGCAACTGTTCTGCAGGTAGGACTGATTGTTTGTTTAATACTGCACTCAGCAAAAGCACAACTACATGGCAATGGTCTATAAATAATAGAGTCTTAACCAGACAATCCAGTGACTGACAGCTACACAGCTAGGATACGATGACATGCATCGTCCAAGTCAGTGAGTCTAACTGACTGAATCAAAGTGGCCTTGTTTGACCAACATGGGTGGCTGATGACTAGTCTCACACATCCCCCGCCCACCCATATCATTTACGACCAGTTCCTAACCTATATATTTCAAGCTAGTGTCATCATATTTCATCACTGTCCATATTAAAGTTAGATGGTCCTGACCTACCATGTGTTCATGGAGACATGCTATAATTACAGAAAGTGAGCAGTAGAAAAGTCATGCTTGTTTCTTCATAACGATACCTTCAATATGTTTATCTCAGAATTCACTGGCCGATATTGTGAGTCCCCACTGGACACATGTGCTTCCGGCCCCTGCTACAATGGCGGCAGCTGCCAGACTGTCGGTACCAGTTTCAACTGCTCCTGTGCCGTGGGTAAGACATCATCTTCGTGTGGCACTGTTGGATGTGTAGCATATGACAAGTGTACAGTGTTTAGCATGTCAAGGGGTGAATGTCATAACTCTACTGTCCAATGTTAGAGAGTGGCAGGGTCCCTAGATTCAATTCATATAATTCAATTTGTTATGGAAAAGTAGATCATCCATACAATGACATTAAGTGGGTAAAAACAGTTATCGTGATGTGGTAATATTTGTAAGTTCAATAGAAAATGGACTTTAAAAAACTTTTTGTAAAATGATACATGTATGCACCAAACTGTATAGTATTGAAACACTCAGTAGTTCCCAGTGTGAGACTTGTTGTACAACCTATTTTGTCCAGGGTTGAAGGATCCCAGTGTGAGACTTGTATAACTTATGTTTGCAGGTTTTGAAGGATCCCAGTGTGAGACTTGTATAACTTATGTTTGCAGGTTTTGAAGGATCCCAGTGTGAGACTTGTATAACTTATGTTTGCAGGTTTTGAAGGATCCCAGTTTGAGACTTGTATAACTTATGTTTGCAGGTTTTGAAGGATCCCAGTTTGAGACTTGTATAACTTATGTTTGCAGGTTTTGAAGGATCCCAGTTTGAGACTTGTATAACTTATGTTTGCAGGTTTTGAAGGATCCCAGTGTGAGACTTGTATAACTTATGTTTGCAGGTTTTGAAGGATCCCAGTGTGAGACTAATGTAGATGACTGTTTGCCTCAAACATGTGGTGAAGCTGGAGTTTGTATTGATGGTGTCAACTCCACGATGTGTCAGTGCTTGGAGGGATACAGCGGAACAAAGTCAGTATAAGTTGGTGACTGTATTAGGCCACAGTATAATATCCAAGCTATAAGTCATTTCATGCCTTCACCAGGGAAACAAAACACTGACAATAACTGATACAGCCTGTTTTAAGTCTCAGCACCAGTAAACACTTTTCTCATATCCTTATAGGTTGTAGTGAGTCGAACCGTGAAGATCTGGGTTAAAATTGGTCTTCAGCAACCCATTCTTGTCGTAAGAGGCGACTAATGGAATAGGGTGGTCAGACTCGCTAACTTGGTTGATACATGTCATCATATCTCATTTGCGTAGATCGATGCTCATGATCTCAATCACTGGATTGTCTGGTGCAGACTCGAATATTTTCAGACCACTATAATATATAGCAGTAGGATTGCTGAGTTCAGCATTGACCAACAAACAAACAAACAAAATTGTAGCTTGCCCAGCTTGAAATGAGACAAAAATATTCTGTTTATGTGTATATTTTTTATGAACAAACCGATTCATGTTAGTCATTTGTTAGATGAGTTGGCTGTACTGGCTCAGCAACTCAGTCTATTGTACAGAAATCACATATTCAATAACTTACATTATCTTTACATTGTTTTCAATAACATTAACTAAGAATGCTGATGGGCATGAAGCAATATTAACTCTCTTATTCTTATTTCAAATAAGATTACCCCCCATTCCACTTTCGTTCATTGTCACAGAGACCATATATGGTCTCTGATTATCAGCTCTAGCGGCCTGCTGTATTTTACCACTTTCTTAAGGGCATTGTATATTCATTGTCTTCAGCTGCCTGACTGTGGATGTGAAGGCGTGTGAGAGGAACCCCTGTCAGAACGGGGGCACCTGTCAGCCACTCAACGACTACTGGAGAACATGCATGTGCCTACCCACCTTCACAGGGGACAGTTGTGGGATGCCCATTGGTGAGAATATATCATAGTGAAGAGCCTGTAATCTAACATAGAAGGTCCACTTTAAAAGAAGCAATTTACAAATCTGCAGTGAGGAGCAAAATGAAGAGTGGAGAAAAAATCATATGAAAAACTCAGTGATTATTTTGCACCAAATAAAAATAAAAGAAAGATGTTTGTACTTCCAATATGTTCAGCTTAAAGCCTGGCAGGAACAGCTGATGTGTCATTGCACATGCTAACCAGTCAAAAACCTTTTTGAACAAAAATTGAATTTTCTTTCAACAATTCAGAAACATATTTTCCTTAATTGTATTCCATACTTCAGATGAGGATTTTTAATTCACAAACTATTCCAAGAAATACAGCAAATATCAGTTAACTGTACCTTGATTTATTCTTTCAGTGGCATGTTAGAAGTTGGGAAGTACAATATTGAACACATTTTATGGATAACAACTTATTTTATTTCGTGAGTGCGATGTTTCGATACAGAATCTTGTACCATTGTCAAGCAGGAATGGTACAAGAATCTGTATCGAAACGTTGCACTCATGAAATAAAAGAAGTTGTTATCCATAAAGTTTGTTCAATATTGTAACTTGATTTGTCCAACTGACTAAACTGTAAATCTTTTATGCAGTCCTGTTGAAATAACAAGTGTTATGAACCTTGAATGTCCAAATTTTACAATTCAGCCATTATATAGGTTCTGAGTTTTCTGGGCATTTGTGTCCAGGCACACATAGTGAGTACTGTGAGTTATATGTTGATATCCTCAGTTCCAGCCTTCTGCGACTCCTCACCTTGCCTGAATGGCGGAACCTGTAGCAACAACCAGCTCAACTTCACATGTGACTGTCGTAGTGGCTTTACTGGGGACATGTGCGAGATCCGCAACCAGACATGTGCAATGAAGGATTGTGGGATGTCTGTGGGCTGTATCGATGACCCAGTGACTGGCTTGTCTGACTGTCTGTGTGGCACCGGCTATGTCAAGGTGGAAGGTCAGTCAAGGAAGAGTCCTGATGTCAGTAATGGATGCTATTTTTTGGCTTTCTTGTGGGTTCTACCTTGACATTGACGAAATGATTGATTCTCATGTGAAAGAGGTTTCCATTTAACTACTGAAACCTGTTTTTAAATTTAGCCATATCACATAACATCTGTGCATATGAATATGTAGATTGCCTACAAATTGATATATGATAAAAGGCCAATCAGAACTGTATATGTATCACCTATATCAGAAAACAGTGTGCATTCTATAATATAGATCTCATCCAAAAGAAGCAACATTGTATATCAATCTGATACTGCAGAATACAGTGACTTTCTTCATCAATCTGATACTGCAGAATACAGTGACTTTCTTTATCAATCTGATATTGCAGAATACAGTGACTTTCCTTATCAGTCTGATACTACAGAATACACTGATTTTCTTTATCAGGCTGTCATACTACAGAATACAGTGACTTTCTGACTTTCTTTATCAATCTGATACTGCAGAATACAGTGACTTTCTTTATCAATCTGATACTACAAAATACGGTGACTTTTTTATCAGTCTGTTACTACAGAGTACAATGACTTCCTTTATCAAGCTGATACTGCAGAATACAGTATGTACCGTATTTCCTTTAATAAGCGCCCGCGGTGTTCTTTTTCAACAGACCTCCAGACCTGGCGCTTATTAGAGGCCCAGCACTTATTAAAATACCCTGTGTTTTTAAAAGCGGGGATGAGTACATGAAGTTATGATTTAAGGGACCATTCCTTAATATATTTATTTATAGACCAAGGGAGAATACATTTGCGAAAAAATGCAATTATTAAAGACCCGGTGCTTATTAGAGGCCCGGTGCTTATTTCTTAAAGCACTGCTTTATCCCCGGCGTTTATTAGAGGCCCTGCACTTAATAGAGACCCAGCGCTTAATAGAGGAAATACGGTATTCTATATCAATATGTTGCAAAGGAATACAGCAACATTGTTTTTGTATTTGTTACCATACAGAAGGCTGTACTGCCATCGACTACTGTCAGAATGGGTTGTGTATGAACGGTGGTACATGTGTGAACACTGAGGGGGGCTACACCTGCAACTGTCCCCATGTAGCCGTGTGATATTTCATTCTGCTAAAACAGAAAGTGTGGTATTTCGTACATAGTTTGGGCATATGTCAGTTCATATTTTATTTTATTAAAAAAAATATATAAAAAATAAAATAAATAAACCAAAAACAAACTACCTTTTTATAAAATATAGAAAATTACCTGAAGTGCCATGTGGGTGCTGTAATAGCAGTCATGTCATGTCATGTCATTGTCTGGTCTTGATTGTTTACTAACACTGGTCACTATCTTGGTTCCTCGGTTCTTCCAATTTTCACCCTCTTCTTTTTCTGAATTGGGAATCATCCCAATTCACTTCAATTCTTCTTTTCTATAAGTAGACTCACCTTATTGCCACTTACCTGCCACTGATTGGTTTCTTATGGGGCGGTGGGGTAGCCTAGTGGTTAAAGCGTTGGCTCGTCACGCCGAAGACCCGGGTTCGATTCCCCACATGGGCACAATGTGTGAAGTCCATTTCTGGTGTCCCCCCGCCGTGATGTTGCTGGAATATTGCTAAAAGCGGCGTAAAACTAAACTCAGTCAGTCAGTGGTTTCTTATGCCAAACAATTCTCTTCTTGGCTGTGATTGGCCCTATTGGTTTGCCATAGTTTTCTTGTTGCTCACCTGTAGATTGTTCTTTAGTGTGTGTACCTGTCCCTCACTGAGAGACATTCTCCTTCTATATGCAGGTGAGTCAACCTTTCACAGTTTCATTGGAGATAAGTTAGGCATAGGTTTACTAAATTTATTAAACATGTTAAACAGTTATTACAATTATCAACTATTAACTATCAACTAGAACATACTTTAATTAAAATTAACATTTATATATCTGGTCAATTTATAAACTTAACAATGGCCATGTGCTTGTTAGCGTCGGCCATGACAGTTTTCCATTATAATATGTAAAGTCATAGTTGGCACATGTGTTTGGTACAGTCACATACTGTGCATTGATGTAGTGTTTGTAATATTCATGTAATGTTGCTATGGTTGGCCAAACTGTACTGTTATTGTTGTTAAATGTGACAGTGTGTGTACCTGTCCCTCACTGAGAGACATTCTCCTTCTATATGCAGGCAGGTGCACACAGTCATTTCACCATCCACAATAAAGACATTCATAGTTGGCCCTGGTTGACTCTTGTATGTGCAGCGTCGTTCAGAGACACGAGTATTATACCCCTGGACCACGGTCTCAACATTAATGAATGTGTGCTCTGCGACCCGACTGGTGTGAACAGTTGTATAGATGAAATCAACAGCTACACCTGTCTCTGTAAGCCAGGATACACAGATGCAAACTGCTCAGTAAGAACCACAGACTACTACTAATGGGTCTGTTTGCAAACATTCAGTTTGATGGTCAGGAACAATTTAAGTTGTTTATTGGATGTACTTTTCTTGAAAATTTGAATGTAATTCATGCACATTTTTTGTACAGTAAATGACATTGATATTGTTGCAAATAATTAAGAACATAATATCTATTGATACAATATGTGATATTTTTTATGGGCAACACCCATCTTCATCAGAACTTCCACAAATTCACGTACATGAGTGTAAATACATCAAACCCAGGACAATGTGATATTTCTAACTCCAGCATTACAGCATTACCATGACATAATCTCATGTCTCACCTCTGTGCTTGGCACTCTTTGAAACAGACAAACATTGATGAATGTATCAGCGCCCCCTGTCAACAAGCTGGGATGTGCGTAGATGGCATCGATGACTATTCCTGTATCTGCCCAAACGGATGGACTGGCAAGGACTGTGATTCGCTTGTTGACCAGTGTGCAGTAAACAACACATGTGATAATACAGCACCTTGCCACAGCCTCTTCAATGACATCTACTGCAGGTACCTGTCATAGCGACTAATGCAGGACAGCCATCGTCCAAATATTTAAAAAGTCCAAAAACTATGTAGCCAAGAAATGTGAGAGTTAATTGTAATTATTTAATCTGCATTTTTAATCCTTATCACTACCGCAGCGTACATTATCTTGTCAGTCACCCTGTATCACTCTGTCACTTTCATTATTGACTATATGTGACATTAATAGCCTTATTGTTCATGCCCCTTGGCAGTGTCTGCCATCACATCATCTGGTCAAGGAAGTGCTATTGTTTCTCTATCTTTCTGCCGCCATATAGCTGGAATATTGCTGAGTGCGGCATAAAACTAAACTCACTCACTCTCTATCTGTCCATTGTTGAGTCATCACCTGTCCATTGTTGTCAAAAACTGTATATATATGCTCACATCTGTATTGTCAAGGAGTCCGATATTCCGACTGTCTGTGTAGGGACGACCGCAAGCTGGATAATGCCGCTCGTGGGAAACGCCCTGGGGTTGAGCTGGAACTCCACTCACCTCATTTATGTATACTTGTTTATGTCATGTACTGTAGAACCAACTAAAGAAGTTTGAACTCAACTATGCCTTTGTCTTCGTCAACCTATTGCTTCGTCTTACTTCCAAGCTAATTCCCCTGTTGACCATAGGTAAGCGTTGACATACCACCCGCACCCCGTTACATATAAATACCCTGTAACTTCCATTTGTTGCACTGGATGGAGAAGAGTCTGTTGACCCGGTGTGGTTGAGTGTCTCTTCAGTGTAATAGGTATATGTCTTGTTGGAACTGAAATGTCTTGTCCAAATACTGTGTATCGCTGTGTATAAAGCCACCCCATATATAAGATGTATGCTCCATCTATAAAATGACCTGGATCTATCACCAGCACAGGCAGGATCCCTATAAATCACAATAAAACTTATTTGTCTTGTGTTGTTTAAATGGTGCATATCAGTGATAAACTGCAGCACGTACCATCATGTGTGTAGACATGGTGTGATGGGAATACTAAGAACATTCTCATTTTCAAACATTTCAATGGGCAATCGTGATCAGGGTGAGGCTCATGTAAATTTTTTGGATACATTGGAAGTTTATATTCCAAAATATGTCTTGGAATAGATATTTGGGGGGAATTGCAAAATTTTACTATAAAAAATCAGTGGCTATTGGACACCGGTTGACATCGCTAGTGAATCCTTGAAGTGATAAAAAACTGTGAGACTTTCTACCACATGCATACTGCAACCCTGTTCAAACCCCTCTAATTACAGTTAGGAACAATGCACAGCCAGTCAGTGTAACCCCTGTAACCTCCTGTACATCCTGATGTGTGACCTCACTATAGCTGAACCAAAACTTATCCAGTAGAAACACAACTTTTTCTTGTTCCGCATCACCCAGTCTAGCAGTCCTACATGTGGTCACACCAGTATCACGCTGTTGGGTTATATATTTCTATAGCTTGTCTTTTCTCCACAACAGGTGTTCAGATTTTACTCATGGTGACCGATGTGAAAATGTCCTTGACCTATGTGAGGATGCCAACCCTTGCCTTGACCGTGCACTCTGTGTTGACAACGGCACAGCAGCTTCGTGTCAATGTCCTCCCGGTGAGCTAATAGCTACAAGTCTCTAACATAGCTACTGTGTCTTTATAACCAGTTTCTTGACCAACTACGTCCTCAGCTGAACCTCAGATGAGATCCTGTCAATCCAGGGCATCTCAGAATGATTGGAAAACCCAGTCACATAGGTGTAACATGTCTCCTCAGACAAGTGACTTCGTTAGAATTCTGTCTGTTCACTAACCATGGGTACCTGATGACATGGCAGTTTGTCTGTTAATAGTCTACTGCCTCACAGACAAAATATCACTTGGGTGAGAGCTCTATATTCAAAGAAATATCGAGGAAAAATTGAATCTCAATGCTTTGCATTAATTAAAGTGATGTTGTGGCAAATTTCTCAGCCACTCTACACTCACTCACTCACTCACTCACCCACTCTTGTGCTAATTTCAGAGCTCTACAAGATGGTCAAGGCCAAGGATTGTTCTCTGTAATGTGATCTCTAATGTGATCTGCTTCATTTGTCTGTTGTTCTTCCAGCCCTAACAAGTCATGGTCTTACCTAATCTCAACATTCCCAGTGTCAGTAATTGAATTATATCTGTATCCTACCTGTCTCCACAGAGACCTCTGGCACATCGTGTAACGAGCTGATCATCCCCCAGTGTGATGCAAGTCTCTGTCAGAATGGGGGGCACCTGTTCCCGGACAGATGCAGGTGCCATCTCGTGTTCCTGTGTTCAAGGTCTGTGTTCATGTTCACACCCTTCATATTTTCATTATTTCTGATTGAAACAGAAATAGAAAAATACCATACTGTCAGGGGGTTTCAAGATAAGTCTTAAGGGGTTACTGACAGTTGTAAATCAAATTTAGCAATCACAAATATCAAATGAGTGTAAAGTTGAATTATTTTAGAAGTTATGATTATTTTGGTCAAAACTGTCAACTGGACATTTCAAAGGGCTTTCCATATGTCTAGAGCCAATGGTGTAGTTTACGAAGGGGATGGTGGGGCACGTAGAATGCTTAATGGTCAGAAGCTTTTGAACTGAGGAAGATGTTTCCAGCAGTAGTCCATGATAGTGTTGCTTGTAGGATACACGGGCAGCCTGTGTGAGACCAACGAGGATGACTGTGCCACTAGTCCATGTGTATCCCCAGCCACCTGCCTGGATGGTGTGAACAAATACTTCTGTCGCTGTCCGGTGGGGAAACAGCCGCCCACATGTAATACAGGTAAGATGGTGAAGGTAACCCATGTGTATCCCCAGCAATCTGCCGGGATGATGTGAACAAATACTTTTGTCGCTGTCCGGTGGGGAAACAGCCGCCCACATGTAATACAGGTAAGATGGTGAAGGTAACCCATGTGTATCCCCAGCAATCTGCCGGGATGGTGTGAACAAATACTTTTGTCGCTGTCCGGTGGGGAAACAGCCGCCCACATGTAATACAGGTAAGATGGTGAGGGTAACCCATGTGTATCCCCAGCCACCTGCCGGGATGGTGTGAACAAATACTTCTGTCGCTGTCTGGTGGGGAAACAGCCGCTCACATGTAATACAGGTAAGATGGTGAAGGTAACCCATGTGTATCCCCAGCAACCTGCCTGGATGGTGTGAACAAATACTTCTGTCGCTGTCCAGTGGGGAAACAGCCGCCCACATGTAATACAGGTAAGATGGTGAAGGTAACCCATGTGTATCCCCAGCAACCTGCCTGGATGGTGTGAACAAATACTTCTGTCGCTGTCCGGTGGGGAAACAGCAGCCCACATGTAATACAGGTAAGATGGTGAAGGTAACCCATGTGTATCCCCAGCCACCTGCCTGGATGGTGTGAACAAATACTTCTGTCGCTGTCCGGTGGGGAAACAGCCGCCCACATGTAATACAGGTAAGATGGTGAGGGTAACCCATGTGTATCCCCAGCAACCTGCCTTGATAGTGTGAACAAATACTTCTGTCGCTGTCCGGTGGGGAAACAGCCACCCACATGTAATACAGGTAAGATGGTGAGGGTAACCCATGTGTATCCCCAGCAACCTGCCTGGATGGTGTGAACAAATACTTCTGTCGCTGTCCAGTGGGGAAACAGCTGCCCACATGTAATACAGGTAAGATGGTGAAGGTAACCCATGTGTATCCCCAGCCACCTGCCAGGATGGTGTGAACAAATACTTCTGTCGCTGTCCGGTGGGGAAACAGCCGCCCACATGTAATACAGGTAAGATGGTGAGGGTAACCCATGTGTATCCCCAGCAACCTGCCTTGATGGTGTGAACAAATACTTCTGTGGCTGTCCGGTGGGGAAACAGCCGCCCACATGTAATACAGGTAAGATGGTGAGGGTAACCCATGTGTATCCCCAGCAACCTGTCAGGATGGTGTGAACAAATACTTCTGTCGCTGTTCGGTGGGGAAACAGCCGCCCACATGTAATACAGGTAAGATGGTGAAGGTAACCCATGTGTATACCCAGCAACCTGCCTGGATGGTGTGAACAAATACTTCTGTCGCTGTCCAGTGGGGAAACAGCAGCCCACATGTAATACAGGTAAGATGGTGAAGGTAACCCATGTGTATCCCCAGCAACCTGCCTGGATGGTGTGAACAAATACTTCTGTCGCTGTCCGGTGGGGAAACAGCAGCCCACATGTAATACAGGTAAGATGGTGAAGGTAACCCATGTGTATCCCCAGCCACCTGCCTGGATGGTGTGAACAAATACTTCTGTCGCTGTCCGGTGGGGAAACAGCCACCCACATGTAATACAGGTAAGATGGTGAGGGTAACCCATGTGTATCCCCAGCAACCTGCCTTGATGGTGTGAACAAATACTTCTGTCGCTGTCCAGTGGGGAAACAGCCGCCCACATGTAATACAGGTAAGATGGTGAGGGTAACCCATGTGTATCCCCAGCAACCTGCCTGGATGGTGTGAACAAATACTTCTGTCGCTGTCCGGTGGGGAAACAGCCGCCCACATGTAATACAGGTAAGATGGTGAAGGTAACCCATGTGTATCCCCAGCAACCTGCCTTGATGGTGTGAACAAATACTTCTGTCGCTGTCCAGTGGGGAAACAGCCACCCACATGTAATACAGGTAAGATGGTGAGGGTAACCCATGTGTATCCCCAGCAACCTGTCAGGATGGTGTGAACAAATACTTCTGTCGCTGTTCGGTGGGGAAACAGCCGCCCACATGTAATACAGGTAAGATGGTGAAGGTAACCCATGTGTATACCCAGCAACCTGCCTGGATGGTGTGAACAAATACTTCTGTCAAACAGCCGCCACATGTAATACATGTGTATCCCCAGCAACCTGTCTAAAATCATCCTTGTTCTAGTGTGATGAAAGGTTCTCACATTCCCTGGGTTCAAACATATGTATTGTATAGCTAAGATTATTCTAGATTATGGTGAGTTACAGATCAAACACGCTGACTGGCTCACTGTGACATACCAGACTGAGTGGCCAGGTGGTCTTGGGTGCCATGAGTTGGTCTGAAGAGTTATGTCCCTTTGTTGCCAGGCTTCACTGATCATGGCTCAGAAATCCCAAGGTTATGACACTTGGACCCTTGTATGGTCAGTTAGCGCTATATGCATGCTTGTGGACTATGAAATATTTATACAAGTATTAATAATCTAAGTATGTTAACCCAGTCTCCTGCCTGTTCCTCCAGACGCAGATGTAGACTACGACATGTGTTTCCATCCATCCTTGACACACGGGAGTGCTGCTCTTCCATACTCCATCCCCATCACCTATGACAACAATGGCGGCTACAGCATCACGATGTGGGTCAAGTATTCCAATGTTGATGGTCTTGGGACATTTTTCAGTCTCTATGAAGACATGTAAGTAAACAGCAAAATATTTACTAATAATCAAACAGATGAATGTCACCAGGGTGAGATCAGTAAAACTTAACTCAAAGATCTCACTGAAACTGGAGCTTGGTAGATGTATAATAGTCTGTTGCCCAGTCCCTGAACCGCATTAAATTTACCCTCCGTCCAGCCCTTTCTGTAATGCTAAAACCCCAAATAAAATGTAATGCTAAAACCCAAAATGAAGCAGGTTTAGATTTCATTGGGTTCAGTATCTGAATCTCCCATCTCACTTAGTCTCCTTTTCAATTTAAAAAGAATTATTTAATTCTATCAAAATTATATATACTCATGCCAATAATGGTTGTCACCCCACTCCCCACCCCAACCCCACACACACCTCACACCCCCACCCCGGTGTCCTCCCATTACGCAGACAGCCAGTTCGCAGACACCTTAAAACAACATTATTTACGGTTCAGTGAACAGATTATCTACTACCTGTTACCTACACATTATTACGGACTAGTCCAATAAAAAACACAGGAACAATGGAAGCTAAATTCTTCAAAGGCATTTAGAAGTTGGTGTAGTAATACAAGACATGGATAACATAAATCAAGATTTGTCTTGTATTAAAACTGAAGCTATATTATTTATTTTGAAAGACGGACGAAAAGACAGTAATTTGAATTTTTATTGCTGCAATATGAAAACAGTTTTTCACAAACATTTCGGTTTAACCTTCTAGTCTAACAGGTGTCGGCATCATTATATTGAAAACATTAGCTTATCTATTAGAAATTGCGACACTGATGTATCATATAAATCAAATAAAGACAAATGTGAACCTAAATATTATTCATATGGAATAAAGAAGTTATATGTTTTGCACACAGTATTAAGATATATGACGAGTGCACTTAATTACGATTTATTTAGAATAAATATTTAAAATATGACGCATCATGTCAATGTGGCCATGGATGTGAGAATGTTTTTCATTACGTCCTTGAATGGCCATTGTATACTACTCAAAGACATAAACTGTTACAATCTTTAGAAAGTATTGTTAAAATTAGAACACTGATTTGTATTAATCGTATCTTACATGGCAATGCAGGTGTCTCATTTACTGCAAATCAGAATGTTTTCAAATATGTACATATCTATATCTCTCCCACAAAACGTTTTCTCAGTTAACTTCTGTTGTACATATGCTATTATTTCAATAAACACAATCAAACCTCTCAGTGACAAACCTGTTTTTATATTCTATAGTAATTGATAGTAAAACAAAATTTGGGAAGAGAAATCATTTATCATTTAAACACAACAAAGTTCTATTTACCTACAATCAAACTTCTCAGTAACGAACCTGTCTCAGGCTCACCCTGCTCTACTCACTAGACAGTGGATTGTTCCATTATACCCGTAGGTGTTACCCTAATTAACCTTCTAGTTCAGTGTCTGTCAATTGGGTGTCTGTCAAATGGGAGATAACCCCCACCCCCCACCCCCTCTCCAATTAAAAATATTGAAGGTGGTGACAACCATTATTGGCATGAGTATATATTCAGAGACTAAGCATTCGTCGGTAAACTGTTCACAAGTATACTGAATAACAGACTTTTCTTGAAATAAATAATGTATTAACCCTGCCCAGGCGGGTTTTATGAATGACCACTCAACAAATGATAACATCTTTGTAATGAATATGCTCAACCAATTACTAAAAATAGTAAAAGAAAACTGTGTTGTGCCTTTATTGACTTCTCGAAAACGTCCGATAATGTATGGAGGGTTGGGCTCTGGCATAAACTACTTAACAATGGAATTAAGGGTAGATTTTTAACTCTTGTTCAAGATATGTATGCTAACATCAAATTGTGTGTACTATCAAACAATTATATGTCGGATTACTTCCCATGCTACGCTGGCGTGCACCAAGGTGAAAACCTTTCCCCACTTATGTTCTGTTTATTCATAAATGACCTGGACAGATTCCTTACTAATGATGGATGTACATCTGTGAGTCTTCATAACTTCCCAGATATTGATATGAACCTATGTATTTCATTTATGATACTACTTTATGCAGATGACACAGTCTTTTTCGCTGATTCAGCCCCTGAACTTCAACGTACTCTTAACTCATTCCATAGATATTGCAACATGTGGCATCTAGAAGTAAATCTAGATAAAACAAAAGTACTTATATCTGGGAGCGGTCCAGCAAAATACTCTAAGCTAAAGTTCTATGATGGAAATACTTTTGATTGACATTGCAGATGATTACATTTATCTTGGAGTGACTTTCAATAGAAACCGAAAATTCAATAAAGAAATAAAACAACTTTCAGACAGCGCATCTAAAGCTATGTTTTGCCTTTTGAAAAAATCAAGAAACTTTAATACACCTATAGATTGTTTACTGAAAGCATTTGATGTTATGATTTCCCCGATCTTGCTTTATGGTTGTGAGACATGGGCATATGAAAATTTACAAGTTATAGAGAAGATTCATTTGAGATTTTTTAAATTAACTATTGGTTTACGTTACTCTACCCCGAATTATATGGTATATGGAGAACTAGGGAGAGTCTCCCTTTACATATTAGCTGTTAAAAGGGTAATTTGTTACTGGTATAAGCTACATTCTGTTGGAACTACTCCAAAACTATCAAAATTGAATTATAATTATGCACTTATCCAAGGCTCTAGAGAACACGAATATGATATTTAGACCAAATATGTAAAAGGTGTAAATGTGGCCTATCTTATATATTTCATAACCCCGTAAATGTTTCATGCCAATGGTTAACTTCTCAGGTGGAATCAATCCTAAAAGATCAATTTTACCAAAGTTGGAAAGTTGAGATAGAAAATATCCCTAAAGGTTTCTATTACAAATACATTAAAAATCTCCCGATTTTAGAAAACTATCTCCTCCTGCCGGCTAAGGTATATTTACCAATTTTAAAATACAGAACCTGTAACCACAACCTACCTGTTGAAGTTGGCCGTTGGCATGGCATTGATCATGAAAACAGAACCTGTAACCACAACCTACCTGTTGAAGTTGGCCGTTGGCATGGCATTGATCGTGAAAACAGAACCTGTAACCACAACCTACCTGTTGAAGTTGGCCGTTGGCATGGCATTGATCGTGAAAACAGAACCCGTAACCATAACCTACCTGTTGAACTTGGCATGGCATTGATCGTAAAAACAGAACCTGTAACCATAACCTACCTGTTGAAGTTGGCCGTTGGCATGGCATTGATCGTGAAAACAGAACCTGTAACCATAACCTACCTGTTGAAGTTGGCCGTTGGCATGGCATTGATCGTGAAAACAGAACCTGTAACCACAACCTACCTGTTGAAGTTGGCCGTTGGCATGGCATTTATCGTAAAAACAGAACCTGTAACCACAACCTACCTGTTGAAGTTGCCGTTGGCATGGCATTGATCGTGAAAACAGAACCTGTAACCACAACCTACCTGTTGAAGTTGGCCGTTGGCATGGCATTGATCATAAAACAGAACCTGTAACCACAACCTACCTGTTGAAGTTGGCCGTTGGCATGGCATTGATCGTGAAAACAGAACCTGTAACCATAACCTACCTGTTGAAGTTGGCCGTTGGCATGGCATTGGTCATGAAAACAGAACCTGTAACCACAACCTACCTGTTGAAGTTGGCCGTTGGCATGGCATTTATCGTAAAAACAGCACCTGTAACCACAACCTACCTGTTGAAGTTGGCCGTTGGCATGGCATTGATCATGAAAACAGAACCTGTAACCACAACCTACCTGTTGAAGTTAGCCGTTGGCATGACATTGATCGTGAAAATAGAACCTGTAACCACAACCTACCTGTTGAAGTTGGCCGTTGGCATGGCATTGATCGTGAAAACAGAACCTGTAACCACAACCTACCTGTTGAAGTTGGCCGTTGGCATGGCATTGATCATGAAAACAGAACCTGTAACCACAACCTACCTGTTGAAGTTGGCCGCATGGCATGGTTGGCATGGCATTGATCATGAAAACAGAACCTGTAACCACAACCTACCTGTTGAAGTTGGCGCTGGCATGGCATTGATCGTGAAAACAGAACCTGTAACCACAACCTACCTGTTGAAGTTGGCCGTTGGCATGGCATTGATCGTGAAAACAGAACCTGTAACCACAACCTACCTGTTGAAGTTGGCGTGGCATGGCATGGCATTGATCGTGAAAACAGAACCTGTAACCACAACCTACCTGTTGAAGTTGGCCGTTGGCATGGCATTGATCGTGAAAACAGAACCTGTAACCACAACCTACCTGTTGAAGTTGGCCGTTGGCATGGCATTGATCGTGAAAACAGAACCTGTAACCACAACCTACCTGTTGAAGTTGGCCGTTGGCATGGCATTGATCGTGAAAACAGAACCTGTAACCACAACCTACCTGTTGAAGTTGGCCGTTGGCATGGCATTGATCGTGAAAACAGAACCTGTAACCACAACCTACCTGTTGAAGTTGGCGTTGGCATGGCATTGATCGTGAAAACAGAACCTGTGGCAAACAGATTGATCCAGAACCTGTAACCACAACCTACCTGTTGAAGTTGGCCGTTGGCATGGCATTGATCGTGAAAACAGAACCTGTAACCATAACCTACCTGTTGAAGTTGGCCGTTGGCATGGCATTGATCGTGAAAACAGAACCTGTAACCATAACCTACCTGTTGAAGTTGGCCGTTGGCATGGCATTGATCGTGGAAACAGAGCCTGTCACCACAACCTACCTGTTGAAGTCGGCCGTTGGCATGGCATTGATCGTGAAAACAGAACCTGTAACCATAACCTACCTGTTGAAGTTGGCCGTTGGCATGGCATTGATCGTGAAAACAGAACCTGTAACCATAACCTACCTGTTGAAGTTGGCCGTTGGCATGGCATTGATCATGAAAACAGAACCTGTAACCACAACCTACCTGTTGAAGTTGGCCGTTGGCATGGCATTGATCATGAAAACAGAACCAGCAATCTCTGTAAATCACCTGCTGTAGCAGATGAATTTCATTATTTATTTAAATGTGAAGCTTTTACTGAACAAAGAAAGAAATGCATTCCCATTACATACTTATCTTTCCCTAATCTAATAACTTATGAAAACATATTCCTTGCACAATCAAAAATTTAGCAAAATACCTAAACCTAGTTGATACAAGTGTGAAAAAGACTAAATGATTATATTGTAAACTGTAGCTATGCTGTATTAAATTGTAAAACTATAATTGTACTTTCTGCCATCTTGCCTGTATGTATATGTATTGTAAATGTTTATAATGTCTCTCTTGTACCACCAAGAGTGGTTCTTTGGAGAATAAGAGAGTTTGAGTTTTGAATTCCATTAAGAACCTTGTTCTGTATGACGTAATATTGTGGCACAAAATGTCACACAAGTCGAAGGCCTTACTACAGACATTGCTTTCATTAGCTGGACCAGTTAATGATCCTCAATAACCAACAATGATTCTCATATTTGTTCGATAATTCCAGTTAGAGAAGTCATATCATTTTTTGTGTAGATCTGGAGGGGGAATGACGTCCACAAAACCTCTGTTCTACATAAATGAAGTTGGCGTCTACAGTTACCTCGGCAACACACAGATGCTTTTGCCCTTCTTAGACGTCATCTCAGTAAACGATGGTATCTGGCACATGGTCATCGTTACCTGGGACAACACTCGGGGTGAGCTCAGCCTCATCATGGACAGCATCAGACACCATCTTCAGGCTGACTACGCAACAGGTCAACCCCTTCCAGCAAGGTATGCTGCAGATGTTGGATGTCTCTGTTTTTCTGTATACGTTAGCACCCTCCTCAAGGGTGATATGGATTTCAACGCTCGAGCCGTCAGGCGAGAGCGTTGAATCCATATCACCCGCAGAGTGGGGGTGCTTCCCTACTTATACCACGTACCGAATGGACTCGTACATTGCTTGTTGCACGTGCGTTTCCTGCACCGCCAAGGTTATTATCCACATATCAACCTCTGCACATGCAGATAGAAGGTTGATACACAGAAAATCAACCTGCCAGAACAATGGACATAACATACCCTAGTGGTATAATTTCAAATATTAACCAAGTATATTTTTTGGTTTTGACTATTTCCTTTGACAGATCTACAGGTATATGTATACTTGACATATCTTACAGACATATGTTATTGTCAGACTTTCTATGACACTTGGTTGTTAACTCTGACAATTTTGTAGGATGGGTATTCATGTTAGTTAATGAGGTCAGGTGTGAAGTAACAAAAATACAGCTGGTAAAGAATTGTTAAAAATATTGGTAAGTTGTTCTGTATGTTGTGTGTATGTTGGACAATGTTTCTCCAGACTTTGGATCTCCATGGGAGCACACCCAGCCCCACCCTCTGCCGACACCCCTGTCAACTCCTCTGTGCCTTTCCATGGCTGTGTGTCACAAGTCAGCCTCTACAGTAGACATCTGGACTTTGGATCTGAAGCAGCAGGATTGGACCGTCGTCCCATGGCAACACTGTCACCAGGGTTAGTGATGAGATGGACAGAGCTGGACACCCATGGATCTGCCCTCATTGTCCGACCCTCCACGGCAAAGCTGTGTCCCAGCGGGGATGCATCATGTCTCACCCCCATTAGAGGTCAGTGACCATACTGTGTGCGAGTTCTCTACAGCTGAAGGCTTGTTTCATCATGTGACAATATCATCCCCTCATGTTAAATTTGTTTCAGATACAACAACTCAGTTGTTGGTTTATTCTGTTATTTTCTTTCAAAATTAATGTTGTTTTTCTGGCAATTTCAAACTTGAGACAAGTGTCAAATGAAATTCCCTTAGGACATCAAGTGTTTCTTGAGACTGAATGAGACACAAAGTCCTTTTTAATGATTTTATTTAATTTTAACAGTCATTTGTTTTGATTTCTATAGATTCTTCTCCTGTGAAAGTGGTCTTTTGTCCTGAGAATCAGTTTGTGGCTGCACCCTCTGGAACAGTTCAGGTTTACTGGGAGGATCCTCGCTTCAGTGGAGCTGTATCATACACGTCCAACTACAGACCAGGTAGTTTAGGGCTGTAGTAGGTCATACAAGTGCCAGTGGTTCACCTGCTTAAAGTAGTGATGCATTACGACTATACAAGTACTGATGCATCACCTCAATACAATTATTAATGCATCACCTCTATACAAGTACTGATGCATCACCTCAATACAATTATTAATGCATCACCTCTATACAAGTACTGATGCATCACCTCAATACAATTATTAATGCATTACCTCTATACAAGTACTGATGCATCACCTCAATACAATTATTAATGCATCACCACTATACAAGTACTGATGCATCACCTCAATACAATTATTAATGCATCACCTCAATACAAGTACTGATGCATCACCTCAATACAATTATTAATGCATCACCTCTATACAAGTACTGATGCATCACCTCAATACAATTATTAGTGCATCACCTCAATACAATTATTAATGCATCACCTCTATACAAGTACTGATGCATCACCTCAATACAATTATTAATGCATCACCTCAATACAAGTACTGATGCATCACCTCAATACAATTATTAATGCATCACCTCTATACAAGTACTGATTCATCACCACAATACAATTATTAATGCATCACCTCTATACAAGTACTGATGCATCACCTCAATACAATTATTAATGCATCACCTCTATACAAGTACTGATGCATCACCTCAATACAATTATTAATGCATCACCTCAATACAATTATTAATGCATTACCTCTATACAAGTACTGATGCATCACCATCATACAATTATTTATGCATTTTCTACTTCATATTAAGTAGCTGTCCTTTGATTATATTACAATTGTGGAACAGCTAACCAAGGCTAGATTGTATGGCATCTAATCTAGAAAGTCTAAACTGAATTTGTATTGCATTAATGAGATTGTTCTAAGACTGTTTTCATGAATGTTACAAAGGTGTTGCACTTTCAACTGGGTCGCACATGGTGGTGTGTGAAGCTCGAGACGCTGCAGGGAATGTGGCCCTTTGTTCCTTTATGGTGTATGTCAACAGTGAGTATAAGCTAGAGTATGTTACATCAATAGAAACATCCAACTTCGTACCTCAAGCACATGTCTCACAGATCGTAAAGGACTTGTCAAGAGTGAGTATAAGCTAGAGTATGTTACATCAATAGAAACATCCAACTTCGTACCTCAAGGACATGTCTCACAGACCGTACAGGACTTGTCAACAGTGACTATAAGCTAGAGTATGTTACATCTATAGAAACATCCAACTTCATACCTCAAGGACATGTCTCACAGACTGTAAAGGACTTGATCCTTCATGGTGTATGTCAACAGTGAGTATAAGCTAGAGTATGTTGCATCTATAGAAACATCCAACTCCTTACCTCAAGGACATGTCTCACAGACTGTAAAGGACTTGTCAACAGTGAGTATAAGCTAGAGTATGTTACATCTATAGAAACATCCAACTCCCTTACCTCAAGGACATGTCAACAGTGAGACTGTTACATCTATAGAAACATCCAACTCTCCTTACCTCAGGGACATGTCTCACAGACTGATGGACTTGTCAACAGTGAGTATAAGCTAGAGTATGTTACATCTATAGAAACATCCAACTCCTTACCTCAAGGACATGTCTCACAGACTGTAAAGGACTTGTCAACAGTGAGTATAAGCTAGAGTATGTTACATCTATAGAAACATCCAACTCCTTACCTCAAGGACATGTCTCACAGACTGTAAAGGACTTGTCAACAGTGAGTATAAGCTAGAGTATGTTACATCTATAGAAACATCCAACTCCTTACCTCAAGGACATGTCTCACAGACTGTAAAGGACTTGTCAACAGTGAGTATAAGCTAGAGTATGTTACATCTATAGAAACATCCAACTCCTTACCTCAAGGACATGTCTCACAGACTGTAAAGGACTTGTCAACAGTGAGTATAAGCTAGAGTATGTTACATCTATAGAAACATCCAACTCCTTACCTCAAGGACATGTCTCACAGACTGTAAAGGACTTTTCTTCTTATGAGATGGACTTTTGGGTATGTAGACAGTATACTGAGTGGGGTATCTAACACTACAGTACTACATGGCGTCTTGCTGAGGTAGTGTCATTAGTATGAACGTGTACAAACTCCTGCATGCACTCACACTCACATGCATACACTCAAATGTGCATGAACATTGCTATGCAAGTGCTGTAATCTTGAACACAACGTTAAACACGTTTCCACTTCTCTTTTAGTCTGAAGGATGTCTGGTTAAATTATTATAAATTTGAAACCCCACTGTCGTTATTTAAATTCTGTTTCCCAACCCCCCCAGTGCCAGCATAATTGTTTCTGTCAACAGCTGCAAAATTGCTGGCATTGCATAAAACAATATTCATTCACAGGTATAAGTTCAGCAGCCCTGTAACATTGACTTAGAAATCACTTCAAACAACAAAGCACATTCTTTCCTGTTTCATTAAGTCCCAGTTTAAAGTGGGGCGGTGGGGTAGCCTAGTGGTTAAAGTGTTCGCTCGTCACGCCAAAGACCCAGGTTTGATTCCCCACATGGGTACAATGTCTGAAGCCCATCATTTCTGGTGTCCCCACCGTGATATTGCTGGAATAGTGCTAAAAGTGGCGTATAACCATACTCACTCACTCACAATTTAAGGACGAAACATTACATGGAACACAGGACAGATATATCTGTATTTGATTATTTCTTTCTTAGAAATTGTTAAATACTTTGGTTATTGGTGAGCAGGTGTCTGTATGTGGCCAGTATGCCGTTCTTCTTTCGTAGGAATGTGCCTACAATAAGACTAGAAGAGGAACCTCCCAGATTGGATATGTACTTATTTCTTCTTGTTTTTAATTTCTAGGTGAGTCATGTCCAGTTCAGGCCATCCCACGGGAAGGGGGTGACAATGTCTGTGAAGCCAGTAATGGAACGTGGCCATTCACAGCATGTACCCCTTCCTGCCCCTCCCCTACCCATGGGCTGGTGCAGACAGTACCAAACTACTACACCTGTGGCCCTGGCGGTAGCTGGATCTCGCTAGCTGAGACAGATGGGCTCTATCCCCCATGTGGAGGTGAGGAAATACACCCTGGATCTAACCACAGACAGGTGTATGTAGCCTTTAATAGTGAATCTAACCCCTACTGGGGGTGTTCTTCCTGGATCTAACCACAGACAGGTGTATGTAGCCTTTAATAGTGAATCTAACCCCTACTGGGGTGTTCTTCCTGGATCTAACCACACACAGGTGTATGTAGCCTTTAATAGTGAATCTAACCCCTACTGGGGGTGTTCTTCCTGGATCTAACCACAGACAGGTGTATGTAGCCTTTAATAGTGAATCTAACCCTTACTGGGGGTGTTCTTCCTGGATCTAACCACAGACAGGTGTATGTAGCCTTTAATAGTGAATCTAACCCCTACTGGGGGTGTTCTTCCTGGATCTAACCACAGACAGGTGTATGTAGCCTTTAATAGTGAATCTAACCCCTACTGGGGGTGTTCTTCCTGGATCTAACCACAGACAGGTGTATGTAGTGTTTAATAGTGAATCTATCCACTACTGGGGGGATTTTTCTATTGTTTGAGTTGGTCTCTGGGTCCTCAGTAACACTGTTCTGGTTGCCACATTTATACAAACTTGGTTTACAGATTTGAGCCCATCAAGAAAGATTCTTTTGTTCTGTTAAACGTTTCTTATAAATATTCAGCCATCAAAATTAATTTTTAGGAAACCAAGCATTTATTTCTTGGTTTTCAGATTTTTGTTGAATATCATATTTAGTAGGTTGGGGAAAATAATTAGAACAAACAATGGATTGTTATTATTTGTTCTTAAAAAATGTTGTCATCAATTTTCCGTGTGTCTGAAGTAATAGATTGACTTGTCATTTAACTCATGGTAACATGATACTTTTCATTTGTCGTGAAGAAATAGAGGTCTTTTCAGATTAGATTATTGAATCAATCAAACATCATAACAATGTTCAAAGGCCTCTAACTAGCTAACCAGGAATGCAAAACAATGAGGTCTTGACAGGTTGATTAAATCTTTTATAGTCAGAAGCCAATCATCTTCAGGAAAGTGATAAGCCATTTTGGAGTATAACACAAACAAATATCAATTGTTTGTACCCATTGTTTAACAATAAACAATTAATCACACTCATAAAATCCACAAACAGATTAATGCTTGTTCAAGGTCATTGTCTTGTGAAACATTTGACAGTAAAATATTCTCTGTTGCTCCAGAACTGACTGGCCCTGCCCAGCAGGTGTTGACGATGAATCTCCAGTACCGTATTACGGTCAACTCGTGTCGTGATGTTAGTCGGCTTCTGGAGACGGAGGTAGTGGACAGTGTGAAGATACTGGACACCACTTGGAACGCCTTCTGTGAGGACTCAGGATGCACCTCCATCACCAACAACATCACATGCGCACTCCCATATTACAATGTTCAGGTCACATTTCCCAATGTCAGGTGAGCCATGAGATATGTTTTAGCCCTCCAACTAAACTTTGGCCCATGAGTAGAAAAGTATATAAACATGAAAAGTTCACTTCATTTCATAGAATCCTTGGATCTTGTGCAGACATTTTGATTCAGATGATAATTATTACTCACTTGAGGGATTCCAGGCTAGAGTTTCGTTTTACACTGTTTTTAGCAACATTCCAGCAATATCACAGTGGGAGACACCAGAATTGGGCTTCACACATTGTACCCATGTGGGCAATCGAACTTTGGCATAAACCCAGCAATAAGTGGGTACCTGATAGGATCAGATGCAATGTTAATGTCACTCAAGGAGCTGAGAATGAAAACTGAGTCTGCACTGATTCAATGGCCAGGTTTGTAATTGAGTGTAATGACCATTCTCTTGGGTGAATGTTTGGTGTATGAGCTGACATTATTATTTACAGCACAATAGCCATATTGATGTAACATATACAAGCAGATGCTCAAAGTGGATTAGATGGGTATTTACAACAGTGAGTAAGTTGGAGGATAACTGAATATTAAACAGTATTTTTTTAATTTCATATCAATTGTACGTTGCTCCATAAGGAACATATAGGTTTTACTGCCCTGTGCTACAACCAGTTGCTTACTGTTGTATCTTGTCTTCAGTGCTGTGCTCAACACTTCGGCTGAATCTCGGACCCCAACAGAGATCCTTACTAGAGCAGTTCTGGACAAACACATGTTTAACTACAATGTAAGTGTTGCCTTTAACAGAATGGTTTCATAAGCTAGTCTAAGTGTCTGTAGGTGCCCTTGCTTGCTCAATTAAGACAGAGTGCTTCCATCTAAACTTGTCTGTAAGTGTTGACCCAACAGAAGACAACACTTGTTCCCTAACAACAGAGTGCTTCCATCTAAACTTGTCTGTAAGTGTTGACCCAACAGAAGACAACAATTGTTCCCTAACAACAGAGTGCTTCCATCTAAACTTGTCTGTAAGTGTTGACCCAACAGAAGACAACAATTGTTCCCTAACAACAGAGTGCTTCCATCTAAACTTGTCTGTAAGTGTTGACCCAACAGAAGACAACACTTGTTCCCTAACAACAGAGTGCTTCCATCTAAACTTGTCTGTAAGTGTTGACCCAACAGAAGACAACACTTGTTCCCTAACAACAGAGTGCTTCCATCTAAACTTGTCTGTAAGTGTTGACCCAACAGAAGACAACACTTGTTCCCAACAACAGTGCTTCCATCTAAACTTGTCTGTAAGTGTTGACCCAACAGAAGACAACAATTGTTCCCAACAACAGAGTGCTTCCATCTAAACTTGTCTGTAAGTGTTGACCCAACAGAAGACAACACTTGTTCCCTAACAACAGAGTGCTTCCATCTAAACTTGTCTGTAAGTGTTGACCCAACAGAAGACAACACTTGTTCCCTAACAACAGAGTGCTTCCATCTAAACTTGTCTGTAAGTGTTGACCCAACAGAAGACAACACTTGTTCCCTAACAACAGAGTGCTTCCATCTAACATGTCTTTTAGAGTTGACCCAGCAGAAGACAAAAATTGTTCCCAACAACAAAGTTTTTTCATTTGTACTAGTCCGTAAGTGTTGACACTGTGGGTGACCTTACTTACTCAAATAAAACAGAATGGCTTCAGCTAAACTTGTCTAAAAGAGTTGACCTTCAAGTGACCTAATTGTTCCCCTACAAGAGTTTTGGTTTCCCTGTCTGGAGTCATTGCCTTCAGTGTTGTTCTGCTGTTAGGAGAGTGTGTGTTTTGTAGTTTGTAATAACATTGGTTAGGTGATAATAATTATGAGTCACAATGTGTAACATTTTGAGTGTTGGTTGTGGGTCACATTTCACCTCATATATGTTCAATGGCAATAGTATTTTAGAGGTACGCCTTTTGAGAAAGCGCTCTAGAGTTACCTCCCTTGACCGGATGTTTATGTTTTGACTCCCGCTCGTATGTGCAACATGTTTCGAGAAAGATCTAAGTGTTTAATGATACAGCCATGCTTTGCTGGAAAGTTCGAGAATCTTTGTCAGTGTATATAAAGGCTGGCTGTTGTGTTGTGCGACACAAGGACTGACACACGGACTAACACAGAATTACACGGGACTTTCGATATCACAGGAGTTGCCCATCGTTGTTTGCCTTCTTCAACATAATCTGACCCTGACACTTCGTGCCTGACTGCTCTCTTTGTAGCCAAGCTCCATTTGGAATATCTGATCTCCCTATAATTATCAAGACTCTGGTGAGTCATATATTTCATATATGTGACCAATAACTTTGTGACTCAATTGCATTGTATTAGAAATCTGTATTGTGATTCATTGTAGCTTGCTCATTGTTTGCTCAATATATTATTGAATATTTTAGACTTGTCTGTGTTATATTTTGCTAGTTCAAAGGGATTCTTAAACCTTTTGTCATGGCAATTATTTAACCGTAACACTAACACTGTTGTTTTTCTCAGCTTGTAGATCTCCCTGCCACTGACCAGTGCCTTCAGTGTTGTTCTGACTAGAGGATGTTGTTTCTCTCTGCTTGTAGATCTCCCTGCCTCTGACCAGTGCCTTCTCTTCTGCCTTCAGTGTTGTTCTGACTAGAGGATGTTGTTTTCTCTGCTTGTAGATCTCCCTGCCACTGACCACTGCCTTCAGTGTTGTTCTGACTAGAGGATGTTGTTTCTCTCTGCTTGTAAATCTCCCTGCCACTGACCACTGCCTTCCACTGACCAGTGTTCAGTGTTGTTCTGACTAGAGGATGTTGTTTCTGCTTGTAGATCTCCTGCCACTGACCAGGCCTGTCAGTGTTGTTCTGACTCTGTTGTTTCTCTCTGCTTGTAGATCTCCCTGCCACTGACCCGTGCCTTCAGTGTTGTTCTGACTAGAGGATGTTGTTTCTCTCTGCTTGTAGATCTCCCTGCCTCTGACCAGTGCCTTCAGTGTTGTTCTGACTAGAGGATGTTGTTTCTCTCTGCTTGTAGATCTCCCTGCCACTGACCAGTGCCTTCAGTGTTGTTCTGACTAGAGGATGTTGTTTTCTCTGCTTGTAGATCTCCCTGCCACTGACCACTGCCTTCAGTGTTGTTCTGACTAGAGGATGTTGTTTCTCTCTTGTAGATCTCCCTGCCTCTGACCAGTGCTTGTAGATCTCCCTGGATGTTGTTTTTCTTTGCTTGTAGATCTCCCTGCCACTGACCAGTGCCTTCAGTGTTGTTCTGACTAGAGGATGTTGTTTCTCTCTGCTTGTAGATCGCCCTGCCACTGGCCAGTGCGTGTTGTTCTGACTAGAGGATGTTGTTTCTCTCTGTTTATAGGTCTTACTACCAGGGGCAATGCCAGAAGCCAGTACCTTTAGTGTTGATGTAGCTCTACTCTGTGCGTTAGGTGAAGTTGAAGTTGAGGGAGATTGCTGTGAGTTATTGTGCCAATGTAAACTCAGAATAATTCTGTTTTTGTTGTTATTGGTGCTCTTTTGCAAAGCATTTGATCTAACTTATTCATAAATACTTTAACCTAGCATGTTTGGAGCTACAATCTCTCTTCTATATTATTTATTGATGAATCTTGATACAATTGATATCAAAAGACATAAGTTAAAAAATAACCTCCAAATGCTTTCTTCTTTATTATTGTGAAGGTTTAAGTAAAGGCTCATCTGTTGAAGCTAAGTTTAATTGGAATTGCTATACAGGTAATTGAAATACTGACAGTTGCCTAATGAAGAATGATGTATAGAATACAGAACTGTTCAGATGGATGACATACACATGTTGGTTTAGATTCCTATACCATAGTCAAGGTAAATTTTATAACAAGAGACAAATTTAAGAGTCCATTCTTAAAATGTCATTTGTTTACTGCTGCTCAGTCAGTTGAAAAGCTGGAATGTAAAATATGGTTTAAGCATTGGCAGCTGTACAGCTGTAACCCATTCACTGACTCACATTTGGTATTGTACAGATACCTGTGGACCAGGTACATATCACAGTGCACCAGTCAACAAGTGCCTCAACTGTCCTATGGGGCAGTATCAGCCACAGTTTGGTCAGGTCACATGTGAGTCATGTGATCCAGGGAAGACAACTCCATCTGTTGGCTCCACAAATCCAGCAGATTGCATCAGTAAGTCATTGTGGTTATTAAAGCAGCTCTCTGGTCTGCATGTTAGTTAATTCTTTCATCATACAGATGTAGTTTGGATATGAACTTTCCTTTTAGATAGTGAAAGACAGACTTGTACACAGATATGTATTCAGTCAGTATAGTCAGTGGGTTTTTGGTTGTATTTCTTTGTTGTTTTACACTGCATGTGCACTCAGTAACGCTGAAGGGGTCGTTGTCAGCACAGGTACTACAGATATGTACCCCAGGTACATTTCTGTATACAGATATGTACCCTAAACAAAGTCAAACTACAGAAACGTACCCGGTACCCTAACCGACGGACGAGTCCATATTCCGCGACCCAATACCGAAACCATATGTTGTTATTCCCGTTCAGCTGATTGCAAGTGGTGTATGTTGTGCACCGTGAAATATTCGTTATACTGTGTATGCTCTTATATAACGCAATCAAATGCATCTAATACAACAGTATGGCAGTTCCGATCAAGAAAACTCCACAATGCAGAATGGAATCGTCCTAGGGTACATTTCTGTATTCTGATTATGGCCAGGGTACATTTCTGTATACAGAAACGTACCTGGGGTACACATCTGTAGTACCCATGCCGACAACGACCCCTTCAGCCTCAGTAACATTCCTGCTATATGGCAGTCGTCAGTAAATAATCAAGTCTGAACCAGACAATCCAGTGATCAACAGCATGAACATCGATCTATGCAATAAGAATACGATGATATGACCACCAACTCCTATCACTTAACCCTTCTGACAAGTAGTGGTTGCTGTAGATCTATTCTAAAGCTGATCTTCACCGGTAGTATTCAGTTGCAAAGGTCCTAGCACTGTACAACTGAAATTACAGGACTTACGCTGTTTATCACAAAACAGGAACAGAAGCACATTTAACCACGTGTTTTGGTGGCTATGTGATTGTTGTAAAGGTTTGTGTTGACTGTGATCTGAAAGAAATAATTGAAGCACTAGTAAAATCTTGAGATACATCTGATAATAGGATGAGCATAGACTTGCACTGGAAGACACAATGTAACAAAACACTAATACAAGTATGAATTTGTTCTTAGTTTAGACATAGTGATATAGTAAAATTGATAAACAGATGTTTCTGTGAATTTTATTTACATATTGGTCCTACCTACTCAAGTTCAAGGCTTGATATTTTCACTAAAGTACACAGCAATTTCTCATAACCTAATTTGACATCCTCGGTGTATGGAGTGCTCAACCTGAGACCATATATCAGTATGTATAGTTATTTATTCCACATATGGTAGTGAAAGATGACAGAGTGAATGACTATAAAGCATGCATATTCAGGGTGTAAATTCAGTGGATGTACTCGCAGTGTTGGATAACTGCCTAATGAAGCAGAGACCATATATATGTATATGGTCTCTGAATGAAGTAACAATGTCTCCATGGATTACTGTACTGAATGCTCACTGTAGTGTTACAGCTCCAATCGCCTCGGCTGTATTTGCCTGGAATTATGGGATAGTCATTGATTTACAATGACCACCAGCTGCTGTGTTCTATAAGTACAGAAGTGATAACAAAGTTACCACAACACCACCATTGAGCACATTCCAAACTAAGTGTGTTAGAGTTATCTCCCCTAGACCATGTTCTTTCAGTCATTGCATTGTGGAAAGTGAATGTGTGGCGGCTGTAACTTGTAAATTCACATTATGAGTAGAAGGTTTAATAAATGTAGAGTGGAGCAGAGTTAGGCTGTGTACGATAGAAGTCGACTGCACAGCCTACCAAATTCACATGTCTGCTTGACGAAGACTAGTCGATTGTGCTAAGGAAAAATAACATTCCACTGATGTCGTCCTCAGTGACTAGTTTCAATGGGGCTCTAATCCATCATAATCATTTTTAAATTTTTTTCAGTTTTGTTGTAATGATAAGGCCACTTATACAGAACTGAACTCCATGGTGCAAGGTCATGTTCTAGGTGCATACAACACAATGGACATTATTACCCCGGATAACCCTAGCTGCCTGTATGGTGCTAAAACGTTCATAGTCATATGACTTATCCCACGAGGTACCCATTTTTGCTGGGTGAACAGAGGCAATATTGATCAAACTCAATTGCCTATGTGCGTTTTGTTTAGGGGAAGGACAAAATCCTAGAAACTGTCAGGACACAAGCTACCAAACACAGGCACCCATCCTAGGACTCTCCGTGACCAACGCTGCTTAACATCAACTGATTGTAGAACAGGGCTCTATGCACAAGACCTATGTACTGAACTGACAGAAAATGTAAACAGAAGTAATCATTAATGTGTCATTAAAACAGGAACAGCAACAAACTCTCAAGACAAGTAAAATAAGGTTTACATTATTAGACTAGTCTTGTGGAGTAGTGTTAAGAAACTGATTTCCAAAGCTTCTGCATGACACGTATGTGCTTCTGTATGATGATTCCATGTACCTGTTGTCTACAGCTAACTGTACCATTGGGCAATACTACAACATCACCACTGGGACCTGTGAGCCGTGCCCAATTGGAACTTACCAGAACATCACGGGCGCCTTGTCCTGCAGACTCTGCCCTCTTGGTCAAGTTACGTTTAACACAAGTGCCACATCGCATTTAGAGTGTGTAGGTGAGTGTGATTATACATCAGTGTTGCTGTGTGATATAATGTGAGCGGACCCGTGTTATGGGGTAGCATTCTTAGAGCTGTATGTCTTACTTAATTAGCATCCCAGAAGTGGACGAGAAACACCAGAATCACGATGATCATGATGATGATGATGATGAAGATGACATTGTGTGTATTGTAGATGGATGCAATACTGTTGGTGGCTGTCAAGGTCTGTGTATTGTGGTGACTGTTCAGCTCTCCTGTGGCAGGTGATTGGAGGACTGTTGGTGGCTGTCAAGGTCTGTGTATAGTGGTGTCTGTTCAGCTCTCCTGTTGGTGGCTGTCAAGGTCAGTGTGTTCAGCTTCCTAGAGGAGGTGACTGTGTTGGTGGCTGTCAAGGTCTGTGTATTGTGGTGACTGTTCAGCTCTCCTGGCAGGTGATTGGAGGACTGTTGGGTCTGGCTGTCAAGGCTCTGTGTTTAGGAGGAGTGGTGTCTGTGGTGTCTGTTCAGCTCTCCTGATGCAGGTGTTTAGAGGACTGTTGGTGGCTGTCAAGGTCTGTGTATTGTGGTGACTGTTCAGCTCTCCTATGGCAGGTGATTGGAGGACTGTTGGTGGCTGTCAAGGTCTGTGTATTGTGGTGACTGTTCAGCTCTCCTGTGGCAGGTTTTTGAGGACTGTTGGTGGCTGTCAAGGTCTGTGTATAGTGGTGACAGTTCAGCTCTCTCCTGATTTTTGATGGCAGGTGATAGGAGGACTGTTGGTGGCTGTCAAGGTCTGTGTATTGTGGTGACTGTTCAGCTCTCCTATGGCAGGTGACTGGAGGACTGTTGGTGGCTGTCAAGGTCTGTGTATTGTGGTGACAGTTCAGCTCTCCTGTGGCAGGTTTTTTGAGGACTGTTGGTGGCTGTCAAGGTCTGTGTATTGTGGTGACTGTTCAGCTCTCCTATGGCAGGTGATAGGAGGACTGTTGGTGGCTGTCCAGCTCTCTGTATTGTGGTGATGGTTCAGCTCTCCTGTGGCAGGTTTTTTGAGGACTGTTGGTGGCTGTCAAGGTCTGTGTATTGTGGTGACTGTTCAGCTCTCCTATGGCAGGTGATTGGAGGACTGTTGGTGGCTGTCAAGGTCTGTGTATTGTGGTGACTGTTCAGCTCTCCTATGGCAGGTGACTGGAGGACTGTTGGTGGCTGTCAAGGTCTGTGTATTGTGGTGACTGTTCAGCTCTCCTATGGCAGGTGACTGGAGGACTGTTGGTGGCTGTCAAGGTCTGTGTATTGTGGTGACTGTTCAGCTCTCCTATGGCAGGTGATTGGAGGACTGTTGGTGGCTGTCAAGGTCTGTGTATAGTGGTGACTGTTCAGCTCTCCTATGGCAGGTGATTGGAGGACTGTTGGTGGCTGTCAAGGTCTGTGTATAGTGGTGACAGTTCAGCTCTCCTATGGCAGGTGTTTGGAGGACTGTTGGTGGCTGTCAAGGTCTGTGTATAGTGGTGACAGTTCAGCTCTCCTATGGCAGGTGTTTCGAGGACTGTTGGTGGCTGTCAAGGTCTGTGTATTGTGGTGACTGTTCAGCTCTCCTATGGCAGGTGATAGGAGGACTGTTGGTGGCTGTCCAGCTCTCTGTATTGTGGTTGTTGTCAGTTTCTCTCTTTCTTGCAGACGGATGTGAGTCGGGGGAGCAGCTGTCGATGGCAGTTGGTGGGGTATGTGTTGAGTGCCCTGTGGGAACCTACAGGGAGAACTCAGTCAACCAGGTGTGTCTCAACTGTGACCCAGGGTTCATTACACCCACCACAGCATCCAACTCATCTGCCCAGTGTACTATAGGTAAATATGGCTTCAATCTCTTCATAGATACATGTACATACAGACAGGCACAAGCACACACAAACTTTTAGGCATAGCATTTTACTTACATTGACTATGCATAATACTATTAAAGAAAACAACCTTTTCAGATTAATATTTATCTAAACTAAATATATTAATATATATTATATATACTTCAATATTTGTTCATTTATGGCAGTATAAACAATAAAACTTTGTGTACACTGTTAGGAGACTTGGCACACATTGTTTACAACAACAATGCAAGCCCTCACGCAAATCAGGAGTGAGTGAGTATGATTTTACGCCTCGTTTAGCAATATTCCAGCAATATCACGGTGGGGATCTTTGGCGTGATGAGCCAATGCTTTAACACTTTAACACTCCCACAAGTCAGGAGACAGAAGTTCAGATGTTGGTGTGGTCTGTTTATATATATGTATATGTCGTCTGTATGTGTCATCAGTATGTGTCTGTATGTGTCATCTGTATGTGTTTGTTGTCAGTGGCCTGTCCAGTTGGTGAGTTCCGGAATGCCAGTGAGAACATGTGTCAACCATGTCCACAAAATACTTACCAAGATCAGAAGTGGCAGGACAACTGTACCGCCTGTAACGACCAACACCGCACCGATGGTATCCGCTCCACCGCTGCCACAGACTGTAAATGTGAGTGTAGCACTCGGGAACAGACTTCATAGGCCAAATCCTACACAAGTCATTGAAATTTAGAATGGAGTAATATGAAAGAATCAGACGTTGCATTACTTCTTTGTAGTTGTACATTGAAAACCCAGGATTTGTCTGATAAGCTTTAATCATTTGTCTTAGAGCAGATTTCAGTGGACCACTTGTTGGGGTTTGATGTTCATGCATCAGGACATCATGTACTTCCATCTGTATGGTTTGACTGCCTCCACATAGCTGGAACATTGCTGAGCGTGGCATTAAACAATACACCAACCAACCAACATGGTGTGATGAGTGTTGGTATTAAACAATACACCAACCAACCAACATGGTGTGATGAGTGTTGGCATTAAACAATACACCAACCAACCAACATGGTGTGATGAGTGTTGGTGGTATGAGTGTTGGTAAAACAATACAACCAACCAACCAACATGGTGTGATGAGTGTTGGGTATATGGTAAAGTGTTGGTATTAAACAATACACCAACCAACCAACATGGTGTGATGAGTGTTGGTATTACCAACAATGGTGTGATGAGTGTTGGTATTAAACAATACACCAACCAACCAACATGGTGTGATGAGTGTTGGTATTAAACAATACACCAACCAACCAACATGGTGTGATGAGTGTTGGCATTAAACAATACACCAACCAACCAACATGGTGTGATGAGTGTTGGTATTAAACAATACACCAACCAACCAACATGGTGTGATGGTGTGATGAGTGTTTGTATTAAACAATACACCAACCAATGGTGTGATGAGTGTTGGTATTAAACAATACCAACATGGTGTGATGAGTGTTGGTATTAAACAATACACCAACCAACCAACATGGTGTGATGAGTGTTGGTATTAAACAATACACCAACCAACCAACATGGTGTGATGAGTGTTGGTATTAAACAATACACCAACCAACCAACATGGTGTGATGAGTGTTGGTATTAAACAATACACCAACCAACCAACATGGTGTGAGTGTGATGAGTGTTGGTGGTGTGATGAGTGTTGGTATTAAACAATACACCAACCAACCAACATGGTGTGATGAGTGTTGGTATTAAACAATACACAACCAATACACCAACCAACCATGGTGTGATGAGTGTGATGAGTATTAAACAATACACCAACCAACCAACATGGTGTGATGAGTGTTGGTAGTACACCAACCAACCAACATGGTGTGATGAGTGTAAACAATACACCCAACCAACATGGTGTGATGAGTGGTGGTATTAACAACCAACCAACATGGTGTGATGAGTGTTGGTATTAAACAATACACCAACCAACCAACATGGTGTGATGAGTGTTGGTATTAAACAATACACCAACCAACCAACATGGTGTGATGAGTGTTGGTATTAAACAATACACCAACCAACCAACATGGTGTGATGAGTGTTGGTATTAAACAATACACCAACCAACCAACATGGTGTGATGAGTGTTTGTATTAAACAATACACCAACCAACCAACATGGTGTGATGAGGGTTGGTATTAAACAATACACCAACCAACCAACATGGTGTGATGAGTGTTGGTATTAAACAATACACCAACCAACCAACCAACATGGTGTGATGAGTGTTGGTATTTAACAATACACCAACCAACCAACATGTTGATCAGTCTTTGGTGTGATGAGTGTTGGTATTTAACAATACACCAACCAACCAACATGTGTTCAGTCTTTTGTGAGTCTGGGTTTGAGCCTGTGGACAACACAAGATGCAGAGAGTGCCCCATCGGCACATACAAGGACTTCACCGTGGACCCCTATGGCAGCTGTCTACCCTGTAGTGGCAACTTTATCACTGCCTCAAATGGCACAACATCGGTGGCTGGGTGCTCAGTTGGTACGTTTCCATCTCAGAATGGGGGTTACAGTGGTTTCTACACTTCTGGGTCACATTGGCACTTCTTAGACATCACCTGTGCAGAGTTATACCCCTTACCCGTTACAGGATTCATGATTTGAATCATAGATTTGCTTTGTTCAGGGTCTGTACCATGCCCAGTGTTACAGGATTCATGGTTTAAATCATATATCATAGATTTGCGTTGTTCAGGGTCTGTACCATGCCCAGTGCTAACTTGAGCCTATTCCCTAGTCCCCATGCAACCATGAGGTAATTGGGCGCCCATAATGGCTGCCGGGTATTCCATACATGAGAGGAAACTAAATTCATAGCTGATTTACTTTTTTGTAAATTGAATATGTGTGTGTGTTCTTGATGGGATGGTGGTTATATAGTGCATACTAGTGTTGGGAATTGGTTATAATCTCATATTCGATGATTGGTCCGTTACAACTGATCAATCATCAAAAATAATTGGTTAGCGTCATTTATCAAATGTTCCTGTTATCTTTGTTAATGCACACAAAAAATAAAGAAAAAACATGTAGTAATTTGGGGTTTTGCAAATTGCACAAAATCCAATGGCAAATTTTGCATATTTAAAGGATGATTAGTATGTTAGGAACACAGATTTCCTGGATTCTTTAAGATAAATTCAATCATGGCTTGGAATGAGCATGTAGTGTTTATAAAATGTCAATTTAATGACACAGACAAAACCAACCTTGTGCAAAATATTGTTGATGCAAACAAGTGTTCCAAAATTGGTTGTGTTCGATTATGAGAAAACACAATCGATTGTTTGGTCGTTTAGGCACTGCGACCAATCTCGATTATTTCAATTAATCAGACCACCACGAGTGCATACCACAGTTTAACATGGATACACAACTCAGACACTGTGTGTTGGCTCCCAGCCATGGGATACTGGTTATATAGTGCATACCACAGTTTAACACGGATATGCAACGCAGACACTGTAAATTGACTCCCAGCCATGGGATGTGGGTTATATAGTGCATACCACAGTTTAACATAGATACACAACTCAGTCACTGTGTTGACTCCCAGCCATGGGATGTTGGTTATATAGTGCATACCACAGTTTAACACGGATACGCAACTCAGACACTGTGTGTTGACTCCCAGCCATGGGATGCAGGTTATATAGTGCATACCACAGTTTAACACGGATACACAACTCAGACACTGTGTGTTGACTCCCAGCCATGGGATGCAGGTTATATAGTGCATACCACAGTTTAACACGGATACACAACTCAGACACTGTGTGTTGACTCCCAGCCATGGGATGCAGGTTTTATAGTGCATACCACAGTTTAACACGGATACACAACTCAGACACTGTGTGTTGACTCCCAGCCATGGGATGCAGGTTATATAGTGCATACCACAGTTTAACACGGATACACAACTCAGACACTGTGTGTTGACTCCCAGCCATGGGATGTGGGTTATATAGTGCATACCACAGTTTAACACGGATATGCAACGCAGACACTGTGTGTTGACTCCCAGCCATGGGATACTGGTTATATAGTGCATACCACAGTTTAACACGGATACACAACTCAGACACTGTGTGTTGACTCCCAGCCATGGGATGCGGGTTATATAGTGCATACCACAGTTTAACACGGATACACAACTCAGACACTGTGTGTTGACTCCCAGCCATGGGATGCGGGTTATAAAGTGCATACCACAGTTTTATATGGATTTCTAAGATGCCTAGCGGTTAGAACAATCGAAAAAAAATTACATTATCAGACAATAAAGGTATAGTTTTTTGATGACGTAACAATGGAATGACATTATCCCGCCACTGCGCCATTCTTGTGTGCCCCTCGTGATCGAACCATTTTACATTACGTTCACAATGTAGCGGCGGGGACACGATGCATGTCAGTTGTCATCGCCGCCGTGCGACGCCTCCTACAGTAAACTACACCGTTGCATCCAGTTTCTTGGTTTGCTGTTGCTTCACGCAGCTAACATCACTGGTGGAAACATTACGTTTATGTTTTACGACGGTTAAAATGTCTCATTTCGACTTTCAGCGACACGGTAACGTTCGTAATGTTTCCATTCCCACAATGCAATTGTGGAATGTCGCTTGACTACTCAACTTCCTCTGGATGTACTGATCTAAACTTACGCTGGTAGTAGAAATGCAACGTTCATATTGCCCCATATGGTTTACGTTAATGACAGTTGTAATTAAAATAATTCAGAGAAGATATTTAATCCGAACATAACCGTCATCAAACTGTTATCATTTGTTTTTTCTGGTAACGTTCGCCTTAACGTAGGGGGGCAGACACATCAATAGAACAGCGCACCAGTTAGCCCTGTGCGAGGATTCTTAATTTAGGTCACCGACACCGTCGTTTGTTTTCTGCCTTAAATTAATCGTAATTATCTTTAGAAAGTATTAAATTTGGCATCTTAGAAAAAGAAATACACTTCGCCCTACCACCATGTATAGTGTAATAAAACACACTTTAAGCCTGAACTATTATAACGTTAAAGCACTCGGACGGAAGCAGCTTCGTGCTTTAACTATAATAGTTCAGGGCAAAAGTGTGTTTTATTACACTATACATGGTGGTAGAGCGAAGTGTATTTCTTAAACGCAACTCAGACACTGTGTGTTGACTCCCAGCCATGGGATGCAGGTTATATAGTGCATACCACAGTTTAACACGGATACACAACTCAGACACTGTGTATTGATGCCCAGCCAACCAGTCCTTGTTTCATCTACTTAATGCTATACACCAGGCAGGGTAACATCAAATACCATCTTGTAGCATGTTTTGCTGTGATACAGCCAGGTTTTTACCATCAACCATTTGCATCCTAGGCCGATTTATACAGTGAGTAAAGCTATACAAAGTGATGGTTAAAAATGTAGACAATGTGTTGTATTTTCAGTGAACTGTCCTCCTGGGCTGTTCCAGTCCAATGCTTCATCCACACAGTGTGACCTCTGTCCCAGGGGTCCTACCAGCCACAGGCCGCCCAGCAGGACTGTCTGCCATGTGGTGACAACGAGACAACAGTGCTGATGGGTAGCAAGCTGCAGACTGACTGCACAGGTGAGCTGTCATCCTCTCAGTCATCAAATGTGCAACAAACAAGACTGAGATGGGCCAATAAGAGATAGTTCCCCCCTTTAATGCAAGTCAGTGCTAAAGGGCACAAATGATATTGGTAAAAGTAGAGAGTGTCTTTTTATGTCGGCTATATTAACATAAGTCAATAGCCATCAGAATTTTACACTTTTATCATTTGGGTGAGATTCTATTTGTTATCTAACTATGTTCTTAATTCCTCACTTGTTAGGGTTATAAACAGTAATATACAGTGTCTTGAATGTAGAAAGAACAGCCAACCAGCAACAGCTGCCAGCCACAGGCCATCATGGTAACTGATGATGTCACAAGTCTGAAGTCATTGTGATTCAATTTCATTGCATTGATCTGCCAGGAGAGATCATCTGAATTGTTCCGAGCCTCATCACCTGTCGAAGCCAGTTTTTTATAATAAAAGAACTGAGACAAGCAATATACTATATGATGCAGTGTTAGTAAGTGTGCCAAGGCTGCCCTGGAGTTGGGTGCTATAGTATTGAATCAATGGACCTCAAAACTTAAAGGGGCGGTGGGGGTAGCCTAGTGGTTAAAGCGTTGGCTCGTCACGCCGAAAACCCGGGTTCGAATCCCCACATGGGTACAATGTGTGAAGCCTATTTCTGGTATCCCCTGCCGTGATGTTGCTTGAATATTGCTAAAAGCAGCGTAAAACCAAACTCAGTCAGTCAAAACTTAAAACATTATTTGTCTATGACAAGGACTCGCCACAGGCTGTTTGTACAACACTATGGTGTATAACTGTTTCCGTATTGCAGTGTTCTGCCCATCTGGCCAGGAGGTTGTGGGTGGCGAGTGTCGGCCCTGTGACCAAGGCTTCTACAAGAACAACTCCCAGGGCCTGCTGTCCATGTGTGTGCAGTGTCCAGAAGGATACATCACTCCTGGTACTGGAGCAGAGTCTGTTGGGGAATGCACTGTAGGTGAGTGAGACATCTGTTCGTTCCTCTGCCAGGCCTGATTTGTTCTTTGGATCCTACCCTTATAGTCCCTGAAGAAAGACATCAGGTGTTATGTAAAATCAATGACTGTTGTTGTAATAATTTCTTTACAGGCTCTTTGTAATTTGAATACATGTGAGGCAATTGTTTAATTGTGTGTTTTTTGCAACCAGGGAATTGTTCAGCAGGCACACGGTTTGTGGCAGGACCTACTCCCACATGTGAGATGTGTCCTGAAGGGGAGTACCAGCCTCAGCCATACCAGAACTCCTGTCTGATATGTGACGCTAACACAACCACTACCAGCACCGGATCAACATCAGACACACAGTGTCTCAGTACGTTGTAGTACTCTCACAAGTATTAACACTAAATCTACACGAGACACACAGTGTTTCAGAGAGTAGTGGTTCTCAGAGTGTCTCCTCAGCTATTAACATCTACATCAGACACATTGTCTCAGTGTGTAGTACTACTCTGTCTCCTGAACTATTAACACTGGATCTACATCAGACACACAGTGTCTCAGTGTGTAGTACTACTCTGTCTCCTGAACTATTAACACTGGATCTACAAGTGACTCAGTATGTAGTACTACTCCGTCTTCTCAACTATTAACACTGGATCTACGTCTGACACACAGTGTCTCAGTATGTACTACTACTCTGTCTCCCTAACTATTAACACTGGATCTACGTCAGACACACAGTGTCTCCGTGTGTACTACTACTCTGTCTCCCTAACTATTAACACTGGATCTATGTCAGACTCACAGTGTCTCAGTATGTAGTACTACTGAACTATTAACTCTGGATCTACATCAGACACACAGTGTCTCAGTATGTAGTACTACTCTGTCTCCTGAACTATTAACACTGGATCTACAAGTGTCTCAGTATGTAGTACTACTCTGTCTCCTCAACTATTAACACTGGATCTACGTCAGACACATATTGTGTCAGATTGTAGTACTAATCTGTCTCCTGAAATATTAACACTGAATCTTCAAGTGTCTCAGTATGTACTACTACTCTCTCTCTTCAACTATTAACACTGGATCTACGTCAGACACACAGTGTCTCAGTATGTAGTACTACTCTGACTCCTGAACTATTAACACTGGATCTACATCAGACACACAGTGTCTCAGTATGTAGTACTACTCTGTCTCCTGAACTATTAACACTGGATCTACAAGTGTCTCAGTTTGTAGTACTACTCTGTCTCCTCAACTATTAGCACTGGATCTACATCAGACACATTGTCTCAGATTGTAGTACTACTCTGTCTCCTGAACTATTAACACTGGATCTACATCAGACACATTGTCTCAGATTGTAGTACTACTCTGTCTCCTGAACTATTAACACTGGATCTACAAGTGTCTCAGTATGTAGTACTACTCTGTCTCCTGAACTATTAACACTGGATCTACATCAGACACATTGTCTCAGATTGTAGTACTACTCTGTCTCCTGAACTATTAACACTGGATCTACAAGTGTCTCAGTATGTAGTACTACTCTGTCTCCTGAACTATTAACACTGGATCTACATCAGACACACAGTGTCTCAGTATGTAGTACTACTCTGTCTCTTCCTCTATTAACACTGGATCTACGTCAGACACACAGTGTCTCAGTATGTAGTACTACTCTGTCTCCTGAACTATTAACACTGGATCTACAAGTGTCTCAGTATGAAGTACTACTCTGTCTCCTGAACTATTAACACTGGATCTACATCAGACACACGCGTCTCAGTATGTAGTACTACTCTGTCTCTTCAACTATTAACACTGGATCTGCAATAGACAGACAGACAGTGTCTCAGTATGTAGTACTACTCTGTCTCCTGAACTATTAACACTGGATCTACATCAGACACACAGTGTCTCAGTATGTAGTACTACTCTGTCTCATCAACTATTAACACTGGATCTACAATAGACAGACAGTGTCTCAATATGTAGTACTACTCTGTGTCCTCAACTATTTACACTGGCTACACATTAGACAGTCAGTGTCTCAGTATGTAGTAGTACCCCAAACACTGGTTCTTCTTCAGAGACACAGTATCAGATATATATTCCAGTCTCCTCCACTAGCAGCTCTGGATTAACCACAGATATTGTGTTTCAGTTTGTAGTCCACTGTCCACTTCTAACTAACATGGATCTACTCCAGCACACAGTGCCTTAGTACATAGTTTTGTCTTCTCAACTAAAAGCTCAGGAGTAACATCGACAGTGCCTGAGGTTTTAGTCCCCAGTTGATTCTAAGAGAACTTGATCTGCACCAGACACACAGTGCCTTTGTATATATTCCAGTCTCCTTGACTAACAGTTCTGGATTAACCTCAGATACAGTTTCTCCATATATACTCAACAAGAAAGTTAAGGACCGCCCCAATTTTCAGTATCAAAGTATTAAATAGTTCATATCATGATCCATACAATACTGAAATATTGAATATTGGGGTGGTCCTTAACTTTTTGTGTTGAGTATATATTGCTCCTGCTCTCCTGCAATGGGACACCGATCCGAGTCTGTGAAGGGCAGTAGACAAGTAGCATGAGGAGTCTGTTGTGCCTCCTGACACTGTAGTGTTATTCTTTGTACTTTGTGTTTCCAGAGTTTTGTCCATCAGGACAGGAGCTTGCTGACTCTTTCAACTGCTCCTTGTGCAGCCTGGGGACATACAAGGACAACAGTGCCGGGGTGTTTCTACCATGCCAGACCTGCCCCGCAGAGTTCACCACATCCACGATGGGAGCCACCTCTGCAGCTGATTGTAGTCTCAGTGAGTGGAAGTCATCATACCAATTCATTGTGGACTCTGGACACAAATATCTTAACATTTTCTAGAAACTTTAGAAAATTGAATAAGAACATAAGTGTATGTCATCTTCATTGCCATGACATACAAATACCATATTTGCCATATTGAGCACCCCACCTTCAGAATCTTGCACTATACATGGTGAATACGTGTTCAGAAAACTGCAGTGCTGGTTTCTATGTGGACACTGGAACCAATATGTGCATGGAGTGCCGTGTGGGTGAATACCAGCCTCTCCCTGCCCAGGTGGAGTGTCTGCAGTGTCCTGACAACACGTCAACTACTGGCCTAGCAACTACCTCCATGGCTGAATGTCGCTGTAAGTCTTGCAGAATGTTTTATACATCTTATTCATTCTATGAACATCTTCACCCAGGTAATGAACAATTATCTATATTCCAGAAGGCCTTCATGTTAATTTGTTTAAGTTTGTTTTGGGTATTATTGACTGTTTTGACTATTGACTGTAAATACCCGCGGTAATATCATTTTAGTCTCCAGTCTATTTCTGCCTCCCTGATTAAGTGCCATCATCACTTGTGTATGTATATATGAAGTGCTATGATCAACCAGTTATTGACTTGCTAGTAGATGCATCATGTATTGACTTATTATAAACTATACTGAACAAAATAAGTAAGGGATATTGGTATTTTTATGATTGATATTTTATCAGTGTGTCAATTAGGAGATAAACATCATGTGTTGGCCAATTTCCGGGTGTAATTGAGTACTGTATTTGAAGCACGGGAATTCATATGGAACCGACGACGTCAGCCAGAGGTTTCAAATGGAATATTCCCGTGCTTCATATACTCAATAACACCCGAAATTGGCCAACGATGATGTTTATCGACATTGTAAACACAAAAGTAAACCAAAAGGTCCACACGTTTTTGTGTCTGCACTCATTGACATCGTGGTAATGCGAATTTACAGCAGTGAAATGTCATCAACCGCTATTTCGGGCTGTCTCTCATGGTAGCATCTGAACTGCTCATTTGTGACGCCTTCGACTTTACATCACAATATGATTTGAATAACGCCATCACAGCTGACGAAGTAACAATACAATGGTGTGAGCCGATGTTTTATGTATTAATACGCTGTGAATTTCGGGGAATCGAATACCATTCGTGACAGTTTTTTACAATGAATAAATAGATCATTATTCATAATTTCAAAATTCACATATATCCCTATATTTGTCCAGTATATTATTTTCATATATTTCTAATATATAGGAACATAATAATGGTTCACAACATAAACACTTATTGAATCATTTTTACATGATATTAGTTTCTTGATTCATGCAACATTTCCTGTTGGAATGTAGTGAGCTGCAGTGAGGGTCTGGAAGATCGCAGCGACGTATGTGTGCCGTGTTTGATTGGCTTCTACAAGAACGTCACCAGCGTGGGGCAGTGTGAGGCGTGTCCGCCGGGATTCAGGACTGCCACTGAAGGAGCCACATCTGAGTCGGACTGTAATGTGGGTATGTACACTCTACACACAGTGCTTCATTTAGTTCCAGTCATGTAAGGCTGTGTTATCACTGTGCACGTTAGAGGAAGCAAGTGTCATTCAAGACACCACACTTTGTTGTGTAGAGTTGCTGGAACAATGGTGGGTTCAGATCCCAATATTTGTCCTGATTAATATTCTTGGTTTGTCATCACAATACCCCGGGTTTTGTCGGTTTCACCAAAGTTGTAACATCTGTATCGCTGACATGTGAGGAATACAGTTGGGTGCTGCGTGAGGTTAACCCAGCTAACTTGATCACTAGGGCGGGGCAGGGTAACCCAGATACCCAGGATGGGTGGGTAATGAGTTGGTCCCGGGTACCCGTCTCAATACCCGGAACTGTTATGAACATGTGACTAATAGATTAAACAATGTAATATGTTATTCTTTCATGATTAAAAGGTTGTATCGTCTTTGAAGATTTAGACATTATTTACAGTCCCTTCTTTATGATGGTTAAGATAATGAAAAACTTGAAATTTTAGCTTCCGAGCTGAAGAATATATTGCCATTTCTTGCAAATTTGATGTCAGGAATTAACATAAGGAGTACCCGCGTAGAAACTTTGGACCTGTCCCAGCACTATTGATCACTCATTCTGAAGGATGGACATGTCATTATGTACAAGCACAGCAGTGTCAAATACTTTCTCAGTTGTAGAATTCATTCTGAACTGCACCATTGGCACATTTTATTTTCAAATGGCAGACGTTGAAATTTCAGAAAGGTCATAATGGTGCACCATGCTTAAATCAATTCCAGTCTAATAAAATACAGTACATGTCTACCGAAACTATGACAATGTGAATATTGACTGTAACCTTGTTAACTTTAAGAAATCATTTACTCTCAAAACTGCATCACATGGTTAGCCACTGCCTCTGTGGCTTCGAATTGCGCTGTAACACCTTTTTAATTATACACATGAAATGCTGATAGGTAGGGCACTAAAACAATTCTATATTCAGATTGAAGTTTGGTTCATGTCACCAGTAGCTAATCACAGAAAGAAAGAAATTATATGACTTTATGACTCAGATTTTCTGACTGGCCTACATTTAGGTGGTTGGTTATATGGTCCCCACCTTGTATCTAGTTCAGAATCACCTCTGCATTTGTGTAGAATAAGAAGCTACACTGTGATGTGTCTGTTCAGATCTGGTGGCCCAGATTGTGGTGTTTCAAGTAAGATCGAACTTTCTTGATATTTCAGCGGGATGTGAGCCTGGGTCATATTTGGACACTGGGAATGGTCAGTGTACACTCTGTGTGGAAGGAAGTTATCAGCCCCAGAAGTGGCAGGACTCCTGTTTGCCCTGCACCCAAGGGCTTATCACCCTCACCCCCGGGGCTGTCACTGAGGACCAGTGTGTGTGTGAGTGAGATCCTTGTACAAACATGAAAACACATTGACTGTGTAATATGGTAACACCAGACTGTCATTAACACAGACTAGGAAGTCGTGGTCAGCATAGCTACTACATATATGTACCCCAGGTGTGTTTCGCTATACAGAAATGCCTAGTATCAGAATACAAAACAGTACCATCTACTGTAAGTCGTCCTTCCTGTCCATGTTGTACTTACGGTTTCCTGATTATGAATGCATGCTGTGCATTAGGTATGTAATCAGGGGTGGAAGTAACTTTAAAATTGCTAGTGTAGTCCGGTACAGTGGCACATGTAAAATCACTTGCCCTGATCATTTTGCCTCTATTACCGTCCGTTTTCTTGGATTTTAAAATAAACAACATAATTAACAGTGGAAAGTCAACTGGACAACGGTGTGTGTGTACAAATTTTCGATGTCAAATGGGTTATTTCCACCCCTGTACATATGCCCCCTGAGTAGCAGGCTGGAATAATTACCTCATGGTTTTACAGTTCTGATCCTGTCATGTTTGATGTCAAGGAATTGTACAATGGAGATGGTCTCATCTAATTCTGTATACAGGAACATATCTGGTTGACATATACGTATACCTGTGCCAACAACCCCTACAGCAACGCTACCTGTGTCACACAGTAACAGTGTCTCAGGGGCCATGTGAAGGTCTTCAGAAACCATGTTTGTTGTAAAAAACCCACTTTTCATTGTGTACACAAAAATCAATTTTAATTTATAAACCTGATTCTTGAATATTAAAGCAACTCATGCTCTTCTGTGTGTTTCAATGTTGCCAGTGGACTGTGTGTCGGGGAAGGCGTATGATGCAGTCTCCACCCAGTGTGAGGACTGTCCCCGGGGGTACTACCGCAACCAGACCGAGAGGAAGCCCCAGTGCCAGCTGTGTCCCCCAGACTACATCACAGAGAGGATAGGGTCGATCTCAGCTGACAACTGTTCTATGGGTAGGCTGATGATATGTGATCATAACAGAAAATGGGGATCGAACACTAGAATACATTGCTCATTACTTTAGTCACTGGTGTCGTAAATGTTCAGGATGAAGCCATCCAATCATTACATCATACTTATTGTCTCTGTTACAACTATCTGCACCATCCAGCCATTACATCAAACCCCCTGACAGATTGTCTTTGTTACAACTATCTGCACCATCCAGCCGTTACATTAAACCCCCTGACATACTATCTCTGTGACAGCCAACTACACCACCAAGCCATTACATTATACTCCCCTGACATACTATCTCTGTGACAGCCAACAATACCACCAAGCCATTACATTATACTATACCAGCCCATGACATACTATCTCTGTGACAGCCAACTTTACATTATACCCCTGACATATTATCTCTGTGACAGCCAACTACACCACCAAGCAATTACATTAAACCCCCTGACATACTATCTCTGTGACAGCCAACTACACCACCAAGCCATTACATAATACTCCCCTGACATACTATCTCTGTGACAGCCAACTACACCACCATGCCATTACATCATACTCCCCTGACATACTATCTCTGTGACAGCCAACTATACCACACAAGCCATTACATTATACCCCCTGACATATTATCTCTGTGACAGCTAACTGCACCACCCCTGGTCAGTATGTGGACACCTCCAGGAATACCTGTGCTGACTGCCCGGCAGGGACATACCAGGACCAAAAGTGGCAGGTCGCATGTAAGACCTGCGCCCCAGGATTCACAACCAGAACAACGGGGACAGGCTCTGTCCTCCAGTGCTATCGTACGTACAAGCCATTATCTTATGACAAAGAACGGCCTTGTGTTATATGTCAGATGTATTAGTGGAAATATGCACATGCTACCCTGATTTGGAAATCCTAAATGTATTGTTGGATTTGTCAGAGACCATATACCGATATATGGTCTCTGGATTTGTATATGCAAGGGTTTCTATGGGCAAAAACAGATATAAAAACAGCCAGTACTTTCTTGGCTGTCCAGTACAGTGACTATGGAGATGATGTCAGTGCTTTGACAACCATATTACCAACCTAGTTGTAGAAGTTGTGGAATGTAGAAGAAAACCAACTGAAGTCAAGTAAACTGAGTTTGTATTAAGGATATATATGCAATGACATTTTCCCATTTCTCATGGAGAAGCAAATATTTAAGAGCATTTCGTGCCCCTGCATCACCTCAGAACATTTAAAAGTTTCAAATCAAGAGGCTAAAGGAACAATAGTACAGTTCCTCCTTGAAAGGTCTGACATAATCTGAGTGACATACTGTTGAGACATGATGACTGACTGTTGTCAGGTGACTGCCCCTCAGGATGGCAGGTCGATGAGTCAACCAATGCCTGTCAGGTGTGTGCCAAGGGTCAGTACCGAGCCAAAGGACAGAGCTGGACTTGTCAGTTCTGTGACATCAGCTTCACCACTGCAAGCAGTGGGTCCATGTCCATCGTTGACTGCAATATCCGTGAGTACGAGGCAATCATCCCCTTGCAAGATTTGAGAGAGTGCCCAATTATTAGTAATCAAAATAACCACTTTCAAGTATAAATCTAAACCATTATTATGACAGAACACTCGTGTTCTTGCAGTTGATTAATAGCAGGAATTAACTGACATTTCTAAACATGTAAATCTGACTGAACCATAGTCATTCTGAAAAGTGTTAAAGATATTCTTTATTGACAATGACACAATTTAAATCAAAGAAATCACTCAAATCTGTTGGTTCTGGAATATATTGTATAACGGGCGGATACAGCTTTTGGGGAAGGGGGGGAGGCGCACACTCTTGCGAAAGGGAGGGTGTAATAAACATTTAGGACAAAAGGGCGGGTGCGCACCCCTGCAACCCCCAACCCCCTCTGAATCCGCCTATGTATTACTTGTGTGTAATGTCATGTTGTCGGATGCGCAGCTCTGTGCAGTGCGGGCACCTCCCACAATGCAGACCTGAAGACGTGTGTGCCATGTGCCAAGGGAAGCTACCAGTCTATGATAAACCAGCAGAGTTGTGTCCCTTGTCCCAACCAACAAACCACTCGAAACACTGGCTCTCTTACGAGCACTGACTGTTTATGTGAGTATATCTTGTTTCTATTTGTTGTGTAACACCACATTCAGCATATTTCAGCTGTATAAACCTGGTCAGAAGATAGTCATCATGACAACAGATCCCCACAATCTGTGTATGATGACATGCAATCAACCAAGTTACTGAGCTTGACAACCAATCCACTTTACCACCTCTAATGACAAGCAGACATTGCTGGCTACCTGTTCTTACTGAAATCCCCATGGAATTATTTGTTCAGAATGAATAAGTGCAATATAACCTCTGCATGTGTGACATGCTTGCATGCACTGTGCCCAAAAAGCAAATGTCTGGTCAACGTCAGTGAGATTTTGTAGTCTTAACAAACTGGTAAACATGGCCTCACACATTGATGTGCTGTTATATTAATAAATACTGCCCAATTTGATGGTTAATGAAAATAACTAAACTGGTGGTCAAAGCGTTTACTCGTCACACCTATGAGCTGGGTTTGATTCCCCCTCTGGGTACAGTGTCTGCAGCCCCATTCTGTTGTCATCCACTGTGATGTTGAACACTTATTGTGGCATAACATCATTCTTCAACACTCACTCATTATTCATATGTCCTGTATATGATGACATTTTCCTGGTCTGTTATGGGAATTACAAAGCAGCAAAGTTCCAATATTTTTCAGAAGAAGGGGCTAGCATGAATATTTGTTGGCCAAATACGCTTACAGCAGATAATCTGTAAAGATCAACTGTACACAAATGCTCTCAATACTCCATTGGCAACCTATGGACCATCGCTGGACAGATGGTACGCTGAAGGTAGCAGCTACAACTGTGATGTGTAACTATATCCAGGGCAGGAGTCATCCTACAGATAACATCCTTACCTTGTCATCTTTGGTCATGTGGACAAGGCACCCGACTTCGGATCAGAAGGTCCTTGGTTTGAATCCCAGCACGAGACTCAGATCCTTTATGGCCGCTACACATGCAGTCCACTTCAGCGCACATGCTGAGACTCCAGAACATGATGAACTAGGCTGACTGACTTTGTACCATGTTTCAGCACTGTGTATCCTGAACGAACACAACTGTACAGCCCCAACTGAGTGCCACGACGTCCCGGAAGGTTTCACCTGTAGATGTTCTCGAGGCTACAGTGGTGTACCCGGCAACTGTACACGTATGTGCACATATTGTATACTTTACTGTAATACACATATACTCAGACATATATACAAGACTACAATATTGAACAAACTATTTGGATAACAACTTCTTTTATTTTGTCATATCAATACAGTTTATTGTAGTGTTATCAAGCAGGAAGGAACCATGAAGAGAAGGGGAATCTAACAAAGAAAACAACATAATTAACATCATTGGCTAGGCAGTAATCTGATAAAGCCAGCCCTGTAGAGTTGACAAGGGAAAGTGCGTTGATGTGTGTATCCCCTGTAGATGTGTGTGTAGACAGTTATCCTTGATGTGTGTATCCCTGTAGATGTGTGTAGACAGACAGTTATCCTTGATGTGTGTATCCCCCTGATATCAGTTATCCTTGATGTGTGTATCCCCCTTTATCCTTGATGTGTGTATCCCCTGTAGATGTGTGTAGACAGTTATCCTTGATGTGTGTATTCCCTGTAGATGTGTGTAGACAGTTATCCTTGATGTGTGTATCCCCTGTAGATGTGTGTAGACAGTTATCCTTGATGTGTGTATCCCCTGTAGATGTGTGTAGACAGTTATCCTTGATGTGTGTATCCCCTGTAGATGGCAGGCATGTAATCAACCAGATGAGATTCCAGAGATAAGTGAAATCAGAATAGGTGAAGTCTACAGAGATGAGTGAAATCAGTCTAGGTGAGTCTATAGGGATGGTGAAATCAGACTAGGTGAGTCTTGGCAGGCATGTAATCAACCAGATGAGATTCCAGAGATAAGTGAAATCAGAATAGGTGAAGTCTACAGAGATGAGTGAAATCAGTCTAGGTGAGTCTATAGGGATGGTGAAATCAGACTAGGTGAGTCTTTGCAGGCATGTAATCAACCAGATGAGATTCCAGAGATAAGTGAAATCAGAATAGGTGAAGTCTACAGAGATGAGTGAAATCAGTCTAGGTGAGTCTATAGGGATGGTGAAATCAGACTAGGTGAGTCTTGGCAGGCATGTAATCAACCAGATGAGATTCCAGAGATAAGTGAAATCAGAATAGGTGAAGTCTACAGAGATGAGTGAAATCTGTCTAGGTGAGTCTATAGGGATGGTGAAATCAGACTTGGTGTGTCTACAGAATCTCATCTTTATTCAGCAACATATCTCAGTTTCCACTTTCCTTGTTTATCATCCAAGATGGTTTCATCAGCTCTGTTCCGTATAAATCATTATTAAGTTATACTGTGAATAATTCAATTTTACTGGAGAATGTCTAGCTTGCACAATTTTGGAACATTTTGATAGTCTATATACACTTCAGTGGAGTTCTTCAGTTACAATCCTATGGCCTGCAGGAGGCAAATGTGTCTCTAATAGGGTCCTTTAAGCATGCCAGATGATATTATTATTGGTTCATTTGCCAGATTCACTTTGCAACACTTTCCTCCTACATCAGTCTGTGATATTACTTAAATCCAGTTCCAAATTGTGTTAAACCAAACTCACTCAGTCACTAAGTATTTATTTGTTTCAACGCCTACATCTGACAACAAAGATGTAATCATCGGTGCAGTCATTGGTGCTTGCATGCTTCTACTGTGTGCTGGGCTGGTTCTTGTGGGTGTTTATGCCTGTCGTAGGTAAGTATGACTTACATAGTGTTGCTGGGGCTGGTTCTTGTGGGTGTTTATGCCTGACTTAGGTAAGTATGACTTACATAGTGTTGCTGGGCTGGTTCTTGTGGGTGTTTATGCCTGTCGTAGGTAAGTATGACTTACATAGTGTTGGCTTGGCTGGTTCTTGTGGGTGTTTATGCCTGTCGTAGGTAAGTATGACTTACATAGTGTTGGCTGGGCTGGTTCTTGTGGGTGTGTTAAGTATGACTGCTGGGCTGGTTCTTGTGGGCGTTTATGGTTCTTACATAGTGTTTGCTTGGCTGGTTCTTGTTTATGCCTGTAGAGGTAAGTATGACTTACATAGTGTTGCTGGGCTGGTTCTTGTGGGCGTTTATGCCTGTGCCTGGGGCTGTCGCCTGTAAGTATGACCTGTCGAGGTACATAGTGTTGCTGGGCTGGTTCTTCAGTAAGTGGACTTACATAGTGTTGGCTTGTGGTTATGCCTGTCGTAGGTAAGTATGACTTACATAGTGTTGCTGGGCTGGTTCTGTGGGCGTTCTTGTGGGTAAGTATGACCTACATAGTGTTGGCTTGGCTGGTTCTTGTGGGCTGCCTGTCGTTAAGTATGACTGAGTGTTGCTGGGCTGGTTCTTGTGGGCGTGCCTGTAAGTAGTATGTATGACTTACATAGTGTTGCTGGGCTGGTTCTTGTGGGCGTTTATGCCTGTCTTGGCTGGTTCTTGTGGGCGTTTATGCCTGTTGTAGGTAAGTATGACTTACATAGTGTTGCTGGGCTGGTTCTTGTGGGCGTTTATGCCTGTCGTAGGTAAGTATGACTTACATAGTGTTGGCTTGGCTGGTTCTTGTGGGCGTTTATGCCTGTCGTAGGTAAGTATGACTTAGATAGTGTTGCTGGGCTGGTTTGTAAAATTCATCAATAAATGTAACAGGTCCTGGCTGGTAGACCTGTGAAACTCACTCACTCACCTGACTGGTAATATGACGGTCCTGTAAAGTATTAAAATGGTGTAGTGTACTGTACGTTCAGATAATTACTTCAGAGTCTGGAATGAATGAGTGACAGACACAGATAACTACTCTGATTCGCTGTAGGCATGCTTTCAGTGTTTTTGTGCATCTCTCCGGATGTTTCCATGTCCATTCTCTACATTTGTGCATACTGGACACACATTTGTGTGTGGCGGAAAGCCCATTTTAATTGTTTTTAATCTTGTGAGAGCAGTGTTAAAACACAAAAACAATTATTTTAGTGACTTGGAATTTTGCATTAAGTGTTTGCTTAACACTAGGACATCAATGAAATGAGTAATCAATTTTTCATTAGCATGCACTGAGAGACAAAGGAAAGTTTACCCTCCCTTTAAGTATTGGGTACTGATGAAATGCTTTACAGAGACAAACATGTCACTATAAGGTCTCTGCCCTTTGGTTACAATGTTCAGTGTGTGACACAGATCAATTTCTGTTACAGAAGACCCCTAGCATCGGAGTCTAATGAACGACTGGATGAAGATAATGCGAGTATGACCCCGTCTACCTTTGTCGCCACCCGTGCTCACACTGCCAGCTATGGCCCCTACATGGTAGCATTCGCTCCCCCAGATCAGGGTGGGGCATATGACCCCTCCTTCTACCGCAAGCAGAGTGATGTGGACAGGGGCTATATTCATTACGAGAATGCCAGTATTAAACTTGCATAGGCAGACTGTGTTTCTCCAGACTTTGCAGTTTCATGACTGACTTTGTGGAACAATGCAAGACTTTAGTTGACTGTGCCATCATCAGACATGACGAGGCCGCCATGAGGCTGAGAGACTGTGTAAGATCACCTAGATTATACTAGTGTCTTACCTGCTGCACCAAAGCATCACTGTGATTGTTCTATATAGACCTTCATACATACAGTGACAGCCAGAAAACAACATAATCGCTGTCACAAATCCATCATGTCTGTTCTATACGAGCTCAGTTTGGAATGTACGCCATGTTCTTGAGTCTTTGAGTCAGTATGCCTTAAACATTGTGTGATGTAACAGAATATATGACCAAGAGATGATGTAGTAAGGTGTTACCATGAGAAACTGTATAGTGGGATATGATATTGATGGGTCAAATAGTGGGATATGATATTGATGGGTCAAATAGTGGGATATGATATTGATGGGTCAAATAGTGGGATATGATATTGATGGGTCAAATAGTGGGATATGATATTGATGGGTCAAATAGTGGGATATGATATTGATGGGTCAAATAGTGGGATATGATATTGATGGGTCAAATAGTGGGATATGATATTGATGGGTCAAATAGTGGGATATGATATTGATGGGTCAAATAGTGGGATATGATATTGATGGGTCAAATAGTGGGATATGATATTGATGGGTCAAATAGTGGGATATGATATTGATGGGTCAAATAGTGGGATATGATATTGATGGGTCAAATAGTGGGATATGATATTGATGGGTCAAATAGTGGGATATGATATTGATGGGTCAAATAGTGGGATATGATATTGATGGGTCAAATAGTGGGATATGATATTGATGGGTCAAATAGTGGGATATGGATGGGTCAAATATGGGATATGATATTGATGGGTCAAATAGTGGGATATGATATTGATGGGTCAAATAGTGGGATATGATATTGATGGGTCAAATAGTGGGATATGATATTGATGGGTCAAATAGTGGGATATGATATTGATGGGTCAAATAGTGGGATATGATATTGATGGGTCAAATAGTGGGATATGGGATATGATATTGATAGGTCAAATAGTGGGATATGATATTGATGGGTCAAATAGTGGGATATGATATTGATGGGTCAAATAGTGGGATATGATATTGATGGGTCAAATAGTGGGATATGATATTGATGGGTCAAATAGTGGGATATGATATTGATGGGTCAAATAGTGGGATATGATATTGATGGGTCAAATAGTGGGATATGATATTGATGGGTCAAATAGTGGGATATGATACTGATGGGTCAAATAGTGGGATATGATATTGATGGGTCAAATAGTGGGATATGATATTGATGGGTCAAATAGTGGGATATGATACTGATGGGTCAAATAGTGGGATATGATACTGATGGGTCAAATAGTGGGATATTACACTGAGGTTGAGCCTGATCATTAGAAACATTATATCATGGGTGAATTCATAATTCCTTTTGAGGTTGCCTCCCTTGACATGCCAGGATCCCAGATTTGCCAGTATCAATTTGCCAATGGTGTAAGGTTTCTGAGAAGACTTCTATTTGTATATTTCACCAAAGCACCAAAACTCAACCTTCATTACTTCAGGACTTTTTATCTCACATTTATTTGACACGATTATATATAATACTGAACACTGAGGAAAGGAGCATTAAACCTACCTGTCTTTCGACACTGAACATATATACATCTTGTAAATAGTTGACTATCCACAAATAACTTCACACAGATAATACACACCTTCACACTCAGAACTTTGAAGTTCAAGGTTTGTTAACAAGTTTAGTTTATGTACAAGACAATGGCATGTTTATATGCGTGGTATGAAGGTGTCTAACTCCAACAGTACACTACTATTTGTACACATCACCTGGACACAATAAGGACAGGTGGTAGTCCGGAGACAGGGAACTCGCCCCAGCCTCATCTGCTCACCAGGGGATCGGGGAGTTGGAAGGGCAAACTTTGACTGCTGAGACAAGGGTATCAGGAATGTTGTGGACGGATACTTGTGTTGTTGACAAACACATTTCCTCACATTAGTGACTTTAATTCTGAAAACATAGCTACTGTGTACATTATGTAATGGTAGATTTTTAATCACACATTTCCTGTTCTTACACATGGCTGTTACATACAATGAATTCCAGATTATTTACTAAAATATCTTGTGGATGCTGGAGAGTTTCTCTCATATTAAGGGTATTACTTTTAGGATATTCATTTACCTCATTTTGGATCGTTGATATGTTTATTCTACAATACATAATATTGTAAACTAGTCTATTTCCTTGAAGACCTTTTACGGTAGATGATGTTTTTGATATATCAGTTTTTATGGGTGCCGGTCTGTAATGATGATTTTTAAAACTGCTCCAATACTGTAACTCCACATGTAATATGAATGTATTGGCAAGATGTCAAAAGGTTAATGTATTATGTTGATACAAACAGGACGATGGGGCAGTCTTAAAGTGGTTGATATATGAAAGAAATGAAAACAAGTTTGTGTAAATTTGCAGTTAGTTTTGGTTATCATTTAGAGATGTATTTACAGAGTCATAATATTCCATTTGAATATATGTAGTCAGTAATTATTTCAGATGTAATGTTTTGTTGGGGAAGATAATAGAAACTAGAATCCAATAGAATCCAGAGATCAATGCGGAAATCCTTGATAATGCACTTAAAAACAATTATTATGGAAAATTTACATGCTAAACAATTGTGTATATCTTTCAAAAACAATAGGTTCTTCAAAATGGGATTCAACATGGAGACATGGCATCTGAAGGGAGACAGGTATGGCCAAGACAGTAAAGGGAGATAACTCTAGTAAGTACTCTCAAGGGATTAGGAGTTAAAGGGAGACAAGTCCAACAATTCTTTCCAAGGTTAACAGTGCTATAAAATACTTCCAGGGCATTGATAGTTAAAAGGGAACATTTCAGAACAAGTGATAAAAAAGCTGATGTCAAACATGCATTGTACCAATTATTCCTTGAAAAAGACCCAGTTTTAGAAGTGAGTCAGCAGTGATTTGTTTACTAATGGTCGAATTATTAGTGATTTTGAGAATACAATTACCCAGTTATTGTCACAGCCATGCTTATGAATATGTATGTAGTGTCCATTGTTAACTGTATGTACACATGGTTTGTGGTCAATTTATCTCTGTACCAAACACTTGTATGAAATGTCAGCATTAACCTTCACAGAATAGTGAATTTACAGACATGGCATTTCAATGAATTATTTATTTTTCCATGCAAATGTGTTGTGTTGTTCTTGTGTGTGTTTTCTAAACTCTGTGTTACAAGTAGTATTTAGATAAGACATGTTTTATGCAAGGAAAATGCATAATCAGTGTTTTGTCCTTAAAATAATTCAAGGATTAAGTTTAAATTTAAGCCTAATTCATCCAGAGAATGTGCATACATAGTCTGTGAAATAGTGATTGTATGTATGTACATCATCCCTGAAACAAAGCTGTAAGATAATACTGTCACCCTCAAGAAACTTACCTGTCACACACATGACTGCAGACACAGTGGCAGCTGAGATACAAATATACCTGAATATCTTGATATTGTTACCAGGTGATTTCCAGTTTTAGAGCAAAGGTTAAACTAAAAACTGGTACATACAGAATGAAAGTGTGAAATGGAAAATCATCCAAAAAGGACAATGAAAAACAAAGTGTTGTTTCAGCTGCTGGTACTGGTAATCTTATTCATCCATTTCATCTGTGTCTGACCAAAAATCCATTGTGTAGCAGTAACAAATTCTGAACTTTACTTACCCCCAGAATGTTGAGTTTGGTGACTGACAGAAGCTACCTGATCATTGGAAACTGAAGGTGGAGACTGAACTGAGGGAGAGAGGAATAATGGGATGATGAGATTACAGTTCTGGGGACATTAATGATGTTACAGCAGTAAAATGTATTCCCAGCCTAAAGGTCGGCCTGGCCATACTGATCCAGGTCCAGAGATTAACCCTGTCGGCATGTTGACAAGAGAGGATTATCTTCTGTGTGATGACTGCATGCCCTGCTATAAAACCATCACATCTTCACAGAATATTTATAATCCTTGAATGTTTCACCTCAGTAGGAGCTTCTATGTAAACTTTCCTTAATGAGGAACATTAAGTCCAAGAATTGCACATGCTAGGCACATACTCTGCTCAAACTGCCAAAGCATGTCTATTCAAATGACACTTGGGAACACATTATGACCTTGACAACAGCAGCAACAACAACAGCATAAACGTCTGTGCTAATGGGAATATAGATTGCACATGTTTATTATTCAACACATGATGGATGTCCACTGGGAACATATAGCATATATTTAATATTCGGCACAAGATGTGTCCAGTTGCAAGATAGGTAGCATATGGTTATTGTTTGGAACATGAGGTGTCTAATGGTAAGATATTTAGCATATGGTTTATATTCGACACATAATGTGTCCAGTTGCAAGAAATATAGCATTATTCAGCACATGATGTATTCAATGGAAAGATATATAGCACATGGTTAATATTCAGCACATGATGTGTCCAATGGCATATAGCATATGGTTAATATTAGGCAAGATGAGGTGAGGTGAGGTGATAGCATATGGTTAATATTGTATGTGCAGCTGCTTGTACAGACTGATGGTTTTATAGTGCTAAACTGAAAGATATAAGCATGAATACCCCACTCAGACATATACTGACTCGTCCTTGTTGTAATATTGCGGCACATGATGTGTCCAGTGGGATCGAACACGATATATAGCACATGGCTATATAGCATTCTATCTTTCAGCACATTATGTATGCAGTGGAAAGATATATAGCATATGGTTAATATTCAGCACACATGTCTAAAGGGAAGATATAAACCATATGGTTAATATTCGGCACATGATGTGTCCAGTGGAAAAATATATATCATATGGTTATTATTCGGCACATGATGTGTCCAATGGGAAGATATATATCATATGGTGAATATATTCAGCACATATGTCCAATGGGAAGATATATATCATATGGTTAATATTCAGCACATATGTCTAATGGGAAGATTTATAGCATATGGTTAATATTTAGCACATGATGTGTCCAATGGGAATATATATAGAATATGGTTAATATTCGCCACATGATATATTCAATGGAAAA